CTCGTCTCCGGGCGCTTCCTCAGATTGTCACCTGCTGTCTCCTTGGCTGACCAGATCAAAAAAAAAAAAAAAAAAGTTGACCATCTCATCTCGGGAGGATTTCCTGAGCGGAAAAACGAATCTCCGCGCAGCTTTTAGGATTTCTGATTGATCTGCGGAGGACAAGGTTGCCAGAATGCCACATGAAGGGAGGGGGGGAGGGAAAAAAAAAAGAAATCTGGATCTGGCTAGTGGGCTTGACTTTAGCTGTTTGTGCCAATTATTATTAGTAGTTGTATAATTTGTCCTTATGGCTTGATGCTTCAGAAAAAAAATCCATCATCTTGTTAAGTCACAGACGACTCATTTATCTGGAGCGTGTACGAGCCAGGATTGTATTTAAGGGGACAAAAGGGACGAATTCTGTGAAAATGCGAACCCAGTGAGCGCTGGGTTGAAAGTCATGTTAGAATTCATGTTAGAATTCACGTTGGACATTATTTTAGACGTAAAACTAATTTTGTTTTTGATTGCGCTAGTATATAAATATGTACAGAATAAATGATGATATTCATGTATGAAAAATAGGGTAATAAATTGCTCTCATTTGACAAATGCAAGTTAGCGTCAAAAGCCTGTAATCACGTTACATTTGCCTGTAATGCGGTAATGCTATGTGTCCTGGTTTCTAAGTTTCGTAGTCACATTACAGTTACTAAAATTTTTCCATAGAGGTAGTGTAACCTAATGACAGTACCACTGTGATTCTCTGGGGCTGAGCGGTCCATGACATTTTTATATGAGGTGCTTCTTGGGCTAATTTTGTTGTTGACATTATGGTAAAACTTGTTTAAAGAGCAGATAGGAACGATCTTGTTCATGTTTTCCTTATTAGAAGATGGATTTGTGCAGATATGTGGACATACGGAGCATTATATTGCTAACAGACTATTGCATGACCTGTGATGTTGTGGGGTAACGCAGAAGTTAGCAGAGAGCAGTGCCACAAATGATTTCTTTTACAAGTAATGTTATTTTTTTAAAGAATAACAAATGTCGTGTAGTGCTAACGTGAAATTAGAATGACGAAAAAGTCACTTTAAGGGTGACAACTAAGGGTTAAATTGAGCTGCAGCCCACCATAGAGGAGCTCTTTTATTATTTCAGCACAGCCAACTCAACCAACTCTTGAAATCTGCTCTCAGACACCCGTTGACCTGAATAAACAAATGCAGAATGCCGCCTCCTTTCTTCTTTGACTTCATTAAACAGCAGTTGCACAGCAGTGGGATCGATACCGTCTCCAAATTGAGTGGGAGCGGCTGAGCGCAATTTATGCACGTGGCACAGCAGGTGACTCGTGATTATTTCAGTCTTCATGCATGTCATGGTGATCCATGTGGCATTAATACTCTAAATGCTTTTCAACAATCAAACCGCGGAGCTGCTGCTGCTGCTGCACACGCTCACAGTCACTGGGTCAAGCTCAGGATGAATCACTTCATCAGAGCTGTGGAGGCATTTTGATTTTAAGCAAATATTGTTTCCTCTTTATAATTTTATTTGAGACCCATGAAGTGATTGTTAAAGGGAGTTTTTTATAAGTTACTGCAGACACTTTAACACAGAGATATGTCTGTTTTTATTAATTGCACCAGAGTTTCCTAAACCACCCGTAAATGCAAATCATGATAAAATAATAACCTACCACTGCAGTGTCTCAGAACATCTTTCAGTACAAGTCTGTATAATTGGGCTGTTGCGTAATTATCCTTCGGTATTTCTAAGGACCTCAGGTGAAGTTTTCTTTTCTTCAAATTGATTTTAAAAAATTGCCAAAAGGTACAGAAAGTATACAAATCTAATCAAACCAAAATGAGAACTCTCTGGCTTCTCCCAAATGCAGTCTGGCTCTTTAAATAGTCGGATTTAATTTGAGACTTCTGGTGACTCTGAAATTTCACATTTGAGGTGAAGGGAATTTAGTTTGTGGTAAAACATTTCAAAACCTGCGTTCAGAAAATTCAGCAGAACACATTGTGATCCAATACTGCCCCCCTTTAGTACGCCAGAAAAAACATTTAGCACGCCCCAATGCATGTTAGAGTATGCTGAAATACCAGGATGTCCTGCTACATCTGGTCCCGTTTGGCAGTAAGCATGCCAGCATGCTATTCTGGCCTTTCTGACCCAGAATCCTCTGTGCAGCAGAGGATACATCAAATGCATCAGGGTCTCTCTCTCTCTCGCGTTACAAGCTCGAGCCGCCGAGAGCGTACGAAACAAGCGATTTCACACTGCGACAGATGTATGAGCAAGACGGTTGAAGCTTAAGGCGCAATGTTGTGACAAAGTATTATGTCCCAGTTGTGTACATACTGCATGCAACAGTACGTACTTTGCAAGGGCAGCTGCGCACTGAAAGGAACTATCTGGAGTCTGTGAGCCTCAACCTCGCCGGACAAATCTTCCCAAATCCCGATTGAACCCTAATTTAACAGTCATTTTCATTATCGATGATTTTTTTTCCCAGTTATTTCCTTGTTTAATCGTTCATAAAATCCCTAATGATTTCCCAGGAGCTCAAGTTAATTAAATCAGATTTGTCTAACCAACAGTGTCAACCAGAGCTCAGTTGAGACTTAAATGATTAGTTGATTATCAAACTATTTAGCATTCATTTTCCTTTAAATGATCAATCTATCCATTTGGCGCCAACTTCTGTTCAGTTGTGGAAACACCCACTAAGTCACGTCTGACAAAACAACACTGGGATCTTCCCTAAACTAACCCTGTTGACAGATCTCCGTCTGTGAAAATCACATGATAGCTTGCATTAGCTCAGCGGCGGACGAGGGGGGGAGACTAAAAGGACAAGCAGCTGCTCGCCTCTGAATGTCTGAAGGTTCCGATTTAAGATGACTGAAATATTGATGTGATGCACTGAGAGTATAACTCCAGAATTCTGTCTATTGCTTACTATCTGCCACGACTCCGTTGCTATCTAACTACAACGTACTGTTAAATGATGCAAGAGTAGAAGGTTGATGGACGCGACTGGTTTTTCATCTGCGGTGGTCTTTGAACGGCGAAAAGACTCGAACCTCGCTAACTTTTGAAAATGTCAGAGCAACACATGGTGGCATTTCAAAGCTAAATGGTGGAATCGGGGGTTTTAAAACCTCAAAATTAGACGCTAACAGCCGTGGTGACACGCTGTCGGGCGCGGGGAGGTCCTGGTAAAAGGACATTTTATGATTCGAGCGAGGGCAAACCGCGTAAACTCTATATCTGCCGCGGCTCGTATATAAACGAACACCACCAAGAGTTTTCCATTCACTGCTGCACCTACCTCCGTCCAAGTAAGCAAAAAATAACTGGGGTATTGATTGTCTCTAATGATACCTCAATAGGCTGTAAATGATATATCAAGAGAGGAGAAATTCTACGCAAGAGGCCCCGCTTCAGCACCAGAGGATCACATCGGCACACATCACAGCGCCTGCATTATTGATGCCCTTGTTTACATGATGAGACCTTCTGTCAGGTATCGAGGCTTTAGAAAAGGAAAAGATGCTTCTCTGTTTCACTTTCTCATCATATATATCTCACCTTTTTTTTCTCTCGCTCTCTCTCTTTGCCTCAAGGTCCCCCCGCTCCTTTCAAGATTTATATAAGAGTTTTCAAACTTGTCAAGGAGCTGTGATTGGACTAACAATCTTTCTGCGAAGGCCCCTCCACCAGCTTAGAGCTTTTTAAAACTTTCTTGGTGGGAATATCAGTCGGGCTCCTCCTTATTTCGTCCGTTTTTCATTCCCGTCCCTCTCCTGTGTCTCCTCTCTGTGGGAGTCTGTTATGGATGTCTATATAGTTAAGACGCGGGGCTGATCCGCGAGGCCAGCTTTGCCCGGGCGTTCCGAACGGCGTGAGTGGTGGAGAATCTGAAGACTTTATTATCAGGAGGGAAATCTAGTGTCTCTGTCCTCCTATCGCCTCCTCTCTCTCTCTCTCTCTCTTTCTTTCTCTTTGTATGTTTCATTTTCTTTCTTCCTCTCACCGCCACTCAGCAGGGCGCCATTAGCCATTCAGCACAGAGAGGCCTTGAGGAATTGAAAGCGACAGAGCAGAAAAAGAATAGAAAAACTGAACCGGGAGAAGGAGACAGGGGAGTTGGGAGGGGAGGTGGAGGGGATGAGGCGGGGGGGAGGTGAGGGCAGCAGGGAGATGGAGTGAGGTGTCGGGGCGGGAGCAAACCAGACAGGACACAGCGGCGCACGGGGGAGATGGAGGGATTAGGGATTAGGCAAGGAGGTGGAGGGGTGGAAATGAACACATTTCCATGGAGATGAAGAGAGAAATCAGAGGAATGACGGGATGCAGGGGATGGAATTATGAAGGAGGCAGGATTGGAATCTGAGAGCCGGCTGGGAAAGAGCAGAGAGAAAGTGTGGCCAGGAGTTATGGAAGGAGCTCGGGGAAGGGGCAGGGGATGCACGGTGCATGCATGGGGTATGCTAATTATGGATTTTTGAATTATGAATGAGATTAATTGCATAGGCAGATGTGAATATATTCACATTTCGCTTCTCTTACTTTACCCCAGACACTTTTAAATGGTAATGCCTTTCTCCTGACAAAAGCACACCTCTTTTTTTTTTGGCTTTACCATCTTCTTTGTCTCCCCCCCATCATATCCTACCGATAGTTTCCTCTCTGGCGCAATGAGGCATCTGTTGAATAAGTGCTGTTTAGTTCCATCAACACAACTTAGCGCGATAAATCGGACTGTCATATGACTTGCAATCTCACCATTATATTTCTTTCACACACACGCTCACGCGCGCTATCATCATTAGCCTGCTAATGTCTAGAGTGCTTAGCATGACTTACGAGCCATTTGGATGAACCGCGGAGATGATTTGCTCTCTTTATGGTGTGTTTGCGCTGTGCTATTTTTTGCTGCGATTTGCATTTTGCATTTCCTGCTCTGTGACAGAAAAATAAATGTGTTCTCCCCTCAGGTCCTGGCAACATGGAGACTGTATCTCTTTGCTGTCAAAGTGCCCACCAAGGTAAATGTTCCCCCGCTCTCAGTGGAATTTTATGGCTTTCACTTGCCAGCCTTGATCTCATGGTAATTCGCAAGAGATGTGACAAAAAAAAAAAAAAAAAAAGAAGAAGTAGAAGAGTTTCAGAGTAGGAGACAAGAGATAACGATGATGACTGTGGTGATGATGCTATAGGATGATAATAACGCTCACGATGAGATGGTAAGTGGCAGGTGGCACCGATCTATAGCAGTTGTTTGACGTTTTGGGAAACATGCTGATGCTCTCATAGAAAGCTTAGCTAATATAAAACTCATGCAGCTTACTGGAGCTTCATGCATGTATCCCTGCACACATGAGTGCATCGAAGCTCTTATGTAACTCTTGGTAGGATGGTAAATAAACATTTTTCTGAAACTATTTCCTCAGAGATAATCCAGGTCTATTTGTATTTTTTTACCTATTAAGTTTATCTATTCAGTTTTTCTCATAATTCTTACGTCATGATAACATTGTACACACCAGAAACACAAGCGGTAAAGTAATCAGAATGGTTGTAAACAAGTCAACAGTTCACATGCTTTAAAATTCAAAATATTATCGGAATTGCAATATAGCCAAATGCAATATCCAAGTTCCAGAAATGGCAATTTTTCTGAATAAAAATAAAACATGCCACGACATACCAATATTTATGTAGCCTTGTGGGGCTGCAGCCTATAAATCATATTACCCAGATGTAAGGAAGCATGCTCGCCTGGTGCAGACTGAAAAAAAAAAAAAACAGTCACATCATCATTTTTGTGCTTGTTTCAGTGGAAAATTGACCATTCCCACTAAAATAGTGACTTATATGGCAATATGTGTCAAAATATTTGTTCTATGTATATATTTTGCATATCATTCAGCCGTCAGTATGTTGATCATGCCACGACTCGAAGAGAATTCCTCCAAAAGTGTGGAAATTATTCTCTTACTGTTATTGACAAAGCAGTAGTGTCTTCATTTTGGACACCACGTCCGTCTCCTTGTTAAAAGCATTATATGACTTAACTTCGACTATTTGCAACTCATGTTATTTTTTTCCCCCCATTTGCAAATAACCTCTTCGAAGTGCATGCAGATATCCCCAAATTTCATCAAAGTCAGAATCTTTGCAGAGCTCTGCTGGGTTGCATCATCAGCCAAAGTGGAAGCCATCAGATGAAACTGAATTTGACGCCACCCACAATGTTTTCAACCATCCCTCATTGCAGTTTCATAGAGGGCTACTGTGGAGTTCACCAGCTGGAAGTTAAAGTTTAGATCATAATTTGACTTTTCGCTTAAGTTTTAGCTGCACTTATGGTTAAAACACACACGGTTGCTCGTGTTTCTTGCCCCATGTCACTTTTTTTCAAATCAGTGTCACTGCATTTCTAAATCTGAGCAGTTGCACTGATGAGTACAATGTTTTCCTGAAAGAAAAGACAGTTGTACAAGCTGTAGTGATCTGTTAAACATGACCTTAAGGAGAAATGTCTGTCAGTGTGGACCACGTTAATGTTTTTCTGCTCTGTCCAGGTGGAGGTCACCTTCAACTTTTTGGAAATCAGAGCAATGAACACCTATCCAGAACACCAGGTGAGACTGATTTATTTTTCTCCCCTGCCAGATGGACATTAATTGCAGTATAATTTATTTCGCTAGAAAAAGCTGTCATGTTTGTGTGCAGGTTGTCATCGACACAGACAAGACGACCTACTCGCTGAGACTGCAGACCCAGGACCAGCTGGATCACATGGTCAGCCACATCAACTACGCCCTCTCCCGAGTCTTCAACAACTCAATTTATGCGTAAGCGCCGCCGCCTCGAGCGAAAAGAAACAAGTCTTTCTGTTTTCGGGTTGTAAGCGCTGAGGAGTGAAGACAAGTTGGCCAATGTTAACAGCACTCGACAGTGCGTTGGCAAGTTGGCAGCTTCACTTTGGGGCTGCTTTCCTCTTCAACAGCCAAATTCATTCTTGTCTTGCTGTAGTTTGCAACCAACCCATTTCTGTGTCACAGTAGAGTTTAACACCCAGCAATCACTGGGATTAAATCAGCCAGCTGACACTTGAGTAGGCTGTTACCTGAAGGCACTGCGTTTTCTAAAGCAGTTGATGTAGTAAAGGCAGCGAGTAGAAGAACGCGTCACTGTAGACTTGAGCCAGCAGACAAAAAAAAGGAAAACACACACACACAGCTGAAAATCCTGCAACGAATGTCCTCTGCACTTGGTAAAAAAGAGAAGCACACAAAAGAAAAGACTGGTTGGAGTCTCTGAAATGTTCGTCTCATGGTCATGTGGCCGTATGAGCGAGCAAGCAAAGCAAGGCGGAGAGTGTGTTTCCCTCCCTCTGGGGTCTCATCTACAATTTCTAAGAGCAATGGGATTGACTGTGCTCCGGCTATTGACCTGCACAAGGCTATCTCCGCACTTTATCATCTTTCAGAATGGCTCTTTTCCATTAGGGCCACGGCAGATGATTGCTTCCAGAGAGAACATTTAAAGAGAATAAAGGGGAGAGAGGAGAGAACAGAAGGGAGAGCACGTTGTTTTTTCGGTTTGATTGTGCAGCCTCGTAACCGATTGGCGCTGCCGTATTGAAGTACATAATGCAGATAGCATCGAGATAACTCGCGCATACACGCAGCCTCTAGGGGCGGATGGTGATGACTGCGGAGATAAGGTGGGGATTAAGGTCACGGATGTGGTTAGGTGTTGTGTGTGATTTGTTGACAAATGGGATTAAGGATGGTGTGTGGTGAATTCAACAGTATAACGGTGTAATCCTATCAAGAAGCCAAAGCAGGTACAGCGCGGCATTATGTATGAGAACAGTATTTACTTTATGATCCCAGTTCTTTTTTTCTTTTTCTGCTTACTGGATTTTTTTTTTTTTTGTTGAGGAAAATATTAAAAGAGAACACCAGTAAGCTGAGGAATACGCTTCTTTTTATATGATTGCAGCAGCGAGCTTCAAACAGCATCCCTGGGATCCAATTTTACAGTGTGCGTGTTGTTTATTCAGCACCAAAGCAACGCCATAAACAGTTTCGATGCTGCAGACGTTCACTTTTACGTTTCGGTTCTGACTGAAGCAGCTGTAATCAATGAAAAACAAGCCTGCTGCCAATTAGCGTCTTGCCAATGCAAATAAGACAGCGTTATCGTTTTAAAAATATTATGCAGCTGCGTTTCGTTTAGCAGGCGCGGGCTATTTTTAGATCCGAACGTGTAAGTCGAATTCCCTTTTTGTATCCGTATTTAACTAGGAGTTATTTTTATTCGAATGTCTTGCGGGAGAAGCGCTAGCAGGGAATGAGGAGGGTTATAAAAAAAAAACACCTGGGAGCAGCCTTGCACCAGAGAATAGTCTCCTGGGCATTAAAGTGCACCACTTGAGCAGCTGGAAGTTCAGTGCCTTGCTCAAGGGCACCACAGCAGCAGCAGCAGCAGCGGAGGGAAGAGAAAGTATAATATTTACCATGCTCTATTCCCAAACCTGTAACTGACGTAACTTGAGGCCTTCTTATCAATAATCCATGCCGAGTGAAGAACATGGTTATAAAAATGATAAACTTTCAGATATGCTCGCAGCCTGATGTGGTTTTTAGTGAAATATCTTTATAACCTTTGGATGGTTCGCTGTGGAACTGCTACGGATCCCAGAGGATGAGTTGCAACGACTTGGAGGATCCGCAGATTTCTTTCCTTTAGCACCTTGATGAGGTTTATTTGTTGTTTTGAATCAAATGTGTCCGTAACTGTTGGATGGATTGCTACACAGATTGGTGTTTATTCATAAGCTTTGGTGATCCTGTATAAAAACCATTTGTCAAAGCTGTATTTTAGAGACAGATCCTGATGACCTCACCCAGTTTGTGGTTGACAAATACGTTGCAGGCTTCTCATTTTTTAGTTGACCGCTACTTCAGCCGCTTAATCTGAAAGACATGGCAGACAGAAGATCATCTGAAGCTAATTACCAGTAACCCCGGCTAAAAATAAAAAAGTTTGTCTGCACTCTGGGTGATGCTCATGTGTCTGACTGCACATAACGATGGATGAAGACTGCCATGACATCACCCGTGGGTTTCCTGAAGAGCAGTTTGAAGCTGGCGCAGGCCGTCTACGTCTTGGCAGCGTCTGAATCCTCCTAACTGCGGGCTAATCCAAAAGTGAGCAAAGAAATGGAGCGTGAGCGGAGTTGAGGCGGGTCATGCAAACGTCTCTGGGCCATGGACTGTCCTATGACAGGACCCACCTGTCACTCAACGCGGCCGCAGTCTTAATGATGCATAACTTTACGCCTTAGAGGTGCAGAGGCAGGCATTCAGAAAAGGCAAAAAAAAGTGAAACCCAAATTACAGAATTTAAAAAACTACAGCCCTCCTCCTACAGTTCTTCGCCTCGCCCTTCACTGTTTTAAGCCCCTCCCACCACATGACCACACACTTGAAATATGCACAAATTGTCAAGCTTAAAATCAACATTGATTTGCGACTTCACACCTGCTCTTCCCAATCAAAAGTCTAACCCCACTGCACCACCAAAGCCCTTCTCTTGCCATGGACTTTGTTGCTGTTTATACTGTCTCACCTGCTTCAAGTAAAGCGACCTGTGATTGGCTAAAATCACCCGTTACAGGCTACATTTTGGATTATGATGCAAAGAAGAGGTGCACAAGTCTAGTTTACTCTCAGACCACTTGAATTACAAAATACTGAAAGGTCAGTATGGAATTTTTGCCCATTGATAGCAAAATAAGTACTTCCTACCCAAGCTTTAATATAATTCAAATGGCTGAGTTATGCAAAAAATTCTGCCCTTGCAAAGTTATCATAAAGAGAAAAATTATATATTGTGACCAAAACCTTCCGTACAGTATGTTGTACACCTGTTTATTTTTGTTGTGAAAGGTAGTATTTTAGTAAGGAGGTCTAAGGGGATTGACTTGCTTTTGGAGACAGCCTCCAGTGGCCATTTGAGGAACTGCAAGTCTTGGCACTTCCTGGCTGGATTATTTTTTTTTTTAGCCCTAATGGCTGCTGCAAGAACCAGCCAAAGATAGTAAGTGAAAAGACACCATTGTTGGTAAACAAACTCCATAACGTGACTACATGTCTGCAAGTGCATTGTGTTCTTGTCATTCCACATTGACCAACAGGGGGCGACCTTAGGATTTTTTTTTCCAGACTCATGCAATAATGCATAAATTTCCCCTCTTGTCTATCCATTAACAAAATAAGAAGAATTGGAGGAAGAATGGATAATAACTCCACATTAAAATGCCTCTAAAGAAACACAATTTGACCTCTAATTACATGTTGGTTAGGGCAAATATCACTGAACAGCTCAGTCTCCAGTTCGCCCCTCGGCTGGCTGGACCTTTGCTGCATGCCGTTCCCCTGCTGTCCTTCACACATTTCCCGTCTTCTCTACCTGGATAAAGGCAGAAAATGGTAAAAAAAAGTCTTTAAATAAAAACATGGACCAGCTCAGTGATGCTCTGGAGGAATTGATCACCTCAGGTTAATTTCTGAATGTCCCAGTTAAAATTATGATTCATATCAAATGAATATTTCAGTCTGATCAACTTCTGAGTCCAGTCCTAGAAGCCAAAGCTGTTAATGGAATGTTTTGGATGAATTCACATCACGTTTCATACGGTGTGGCTGCTTCTTTCATTTCCAGCTGTAAAAGTTGTGACGATTGAGACACTATGTGTGGTTTTTACATCTTTCTTTAACTTTTATTTCCTTGCAAATGTTGAAAGATAAACCTAATACTTTCCATGCAGGATTTGAACGGATTTGGATTCGATGGAGGATTTCTATTCAATGAACACCACCCACACTTGAATACATGTAAAGCTGACATTCCCTTCAGCCTCAGCTCTGCTTTGTGTTTAATGATGACTACTAAATGTTAAACACAATGCTAGAAGATGTTAAACACAGCACGCTCTCCTCTTCCTTGACACCAGGATGCTGGCTTTAGGTCCAGATCGACGGAGCTGCTGTTAAACTCTCCTGCTTTGAACCTCTTCTCTCTCTCTTTCTTTCTTTCAGTCCTCCTATTTGTCGAGCAGAGGAGGACGTGCCCGATGGGACTCACAAGTTTTCACCAAACTCTGAAACATCATTAGAACCCCAGAAAACCTGCGGTGAGTCTGCTGCTTTTTTTTCTGACTGTATCACGCCAGCGCGCAGGCATTACACGCGGGCAGCACTTCAGAGTCCATCCGCAAGCTGACTCACACCAAGTCATTTTGGAGACTCGTCCTTAAGTGGGTCAGGAGACCAAAGCTACTGGATGCACTCGCTTTCTGCTAGTAATCCCATTAATCTACAAGAAGAGCTCCTTCATGGTGCTGTACTTTCATCTCACCTCAATATTTACAGCTAATCTGTGTCTCTCTCTGCCTCTCTACCGACCATCTCGCTTTCACAGACTTCCTCTTTCATCTCGGGGCCCTTTCTCCTCTTCCTCTTTTCACGTGTCCTCTGCCCTTCTTTATTCTGGCCTTCTGATCCGTAATGGTCCGGCTTGGATTGATTTGTTGTCTTACCCTGTCTGCGTTTCAGGAGGGTTTTCCGAGACCTACGCTGCTCTCTGTGACTACAACGGCATTGGCTGCAAAGAGGAAGTGCAGTGGGTGAGGAAGGCTACACTGGCTGCACAAAATCACTTTATTAGCTTTTAGTGATTGCTATCTTTTGCACAGTTGACAAAAATGCGATTCCTTTACGTTGCTGTCTCATATCTCTCTGTTTGTTTGCTTCTCCGTTCTAGGACGTCGACACAATCTACCACTCTCAGGATAACAGGGAGTTCAACTTACTGGATTTCAGCCATCTTGACAGCAGGTGACATACTTTACTGACATCTCAGCCACACCCAGGCTCATTACAGTGCACAAGCTTGCACTGATTGGGAAGACACAATTAACTCCAGCAGCGTACAGTGTTGGCTCTGCACTCCGGCACATTGGATTTAAAAAACGAAGTCATGAAAACCAGGATAAAGTGCTGACTTCTAGCGTTAATTTGTGGGTGTTTACGTCTGCATCAGGGGGCATTTAGGGGACGGAAAGTAATTGGACAAGTTCAAACAGACTCATTATATTTGATATTTGTCAGTTGTGTTGCAGTGAGTGTGCATTTCGCAATATTCCTTCGCAATGGTCCGCTAGAACGGTACTGCCATTTTTTTTTTTTTAGTAGTATTTTCTCTTTCCAGTTTGCTCTTAAAAAAGTGAAATACCTACTCTGCTATATTAATTGCCAGTCAAGACCATTCAGCTGACTGGCTCGGTGTAAGATATAACTCCCAAACAAGTTTAATGATGGCGAGGAATGTGCAAGTATTTTTTATTTTTTTCATTCCTAAAGCTTAACTGCATTAACTTCTCAGTGTAAGTAGGCTCATCACACATGTTTCTGCCAAATACTGGAGCATAATTAGCTTCCGAACTAGTGGCGCAGTCAGATTCTAGATAAGTATGGGAAAATGGCTTTGTGGCGTCATAGTCGGCTGAATCCGGTGAAGTTGAAGGCCATTTTGAACCACTAGCCATCCAGTCCAACACAAAAAGTCTAAAAACACAAGTTGTCCTACGTGTCCTTGAGCAACACACATGTTCTAAGCTGTGGAGAATACCCTCTTATCTAACGCAAGTGTCAAGGAAACCCACTGTTGTTAACATCGCTGTACGACACGGGTCTTTAGAAATGAAATAAGCTATGACGAGCTCATCGCGGAACGGTTAAAGTTTTGTAAAACTGTGCGTTTGCTTTTGCTAAAATTGGGTGCTACAGTTTTCTAAAGCTCCTTTCAGACTCCTTTCTGTTCATCTCACGACAACTGAATGTGTCGGCTTCACGGCTGAATGAGCACCCGAGGTGTGTGAAGCAATTTGGGGAAGTTTTTTTTTTTTTCTTTTACCGTCAGGCATCAACGTTAGTCAAAAAAAATATTACAGAGAGCAAAGGACACAGTTTGCGTGCACAAATCTTTATCTGCTTTACAATTTCACTTCTATTCCAAACTAACTTCCCCTTAGAACGTAATTGCGATGAAGTCTGAAGACTTCAACAGATTCACCAATATTGAATGTAATCCAGTTTTTCACAAAATATTAACAGGAGCTGAAGTTTAGTTTTTTGCTTCTGGCTGTTTGTAGGCATCTTTCCTCTGAGTTTGTTCCATACCTGCATCTTCAAAAAGCAGCAGCATCCATATGAAGCTCTCCAAAGTGCGTGCATTTATGATTTATGATCAAACAGCAAGTCACACTGTGTACTTTTCTTCACTTCAGATAGGTGAGCTGCCGAGCAGAGTCACAGTTTGTAGGCTGCAGTTACATCATTCGTTACAATGCGGTCGTCCTGAGTCCTGGGCCTCATCACAGGTGTCGGGATGGTTCTTATTTTGCTCACTAAGTCGTAGTTAGATTATCATCACACATGGACAGAATTGTCACTGTTTAACAAGTCATAGATAAACGAGTCTACTACGGTGGCCAACGGGGGCAAATGACGTGCATATACACAATCGAGCTGCATATATATATGCATTATTTATATTTATACGTTGCATATGTGGCCGACGGGGGCAAGTGACGTGCATGAACAAAAGCGCGCTGCAAAAAGAAAATGCTGCAAACATGGAAATGCGCTGCAAAAAGAAAATGCTGCATATACCGACACACTGCATAAATGAAAACAAAAAGAAAACGCTGCATATCCAGTCACACAACTGAAGTGCCACAGGCCTCTAGGGGCAGTTTTTTTTAGTCTGTAACAATCCAGTCACTGTGATTCTATGGGTGCTGAAGTGTTTTACTACCGTCTCCCTGTGTTCTCTCTGTTATTTATGTTCATCCATGGAGACGAGAGGATACACACCTTTTCATACAGCTTTTCCCTCACCTAATGTTACTTGTCTCGCTCACCGTTGTCTGCCTCTCAGGTGAAAAGCTCACTACTGCCCCTAGAGGCCTGGGGCACTTCTGTTATGTGACTGTAGCATTTTCCTTTTGCAGCTCATTTGTGTATACGCACGTCATTTACCCCCGTTGGCCACCGTAGTCTACTAACTATTGAGACAGTTTGATAAGCTAGCTCTGAGTTCAGATGGAGTCTTTAGTTTATTTGTGTGTTATTGTGTATTATGTGTCTCACATGTATGACAAATATCAAATTCTGAGAAACATTAACATAAAACGGATCTATGTCTAAATGACAGAATGCCATCACTTAAACAAATGAAACCAGCAACGTATGTATTTCATGTCTGAAAGGGGCTTGATATTAGTCCAGGGATGATGGAATAGAAAACGACCCATTATGTGAGCAGACATCCCCCCAAAAATCACCTTTTTCTTGCAAAAATATGCAAGTATTTCCCAAGAAAAGGGAAAGATTTGAAACATATTGAAATTTGTAAAATGACTGAGAGCTGTTGAAGATAAGAATGACTGATAGTATGAAAATAAGTACTTCCCCCGACTATAACACACAAACAGACACCAAACAGTGCATGTGACGGGCAGACAGACATCAGGAGGTACAAACTGATCATATGTTCAGCGTTACAGTCGGAATCCGTTTGTTTGGAAGTGGTCAGTAGATGTGTCTGTTACACATCACTAAGTCAACCAGAGCTGAAATCCCAGCGATTTTTACCTGAAGGTAAAATCCAGCACTTGAGCCTCAATAGTTTTTGTTTCATGTGAAGTCCATTCCTCTGGAGTGCAGAGCCAAAATAATAAAAACATATCTTTGTCTTAATACTTTCTGACTGCACTGTAGTTTTGGAAGAGTTTTCATTTTGCATCATGTTGTTTCACAAAAAGGTTTCCCAGACGGTAGTACGGTGCATCGAATCAGCTGTCACTCCTCATCTCATCTGATATTAGAGTGGCTATTTGTCTAACACGACCGTCCCTGGGTGAAATGTTGAGTGCATTAGTCTTGTATTCGGTTTCTGGCTTGCTTTCTGTTTCACTTGGGTTTTGTTAGACGTTTGTTAAGATCACAGAGATGGGGGAGTGATATGCTTGTCAGATGCAAAATTCATGGCTGAGAAACAGCTGTAAGATGTCATGTGTGTTCTCCTATAGCTCCCCCCCTGGTATCTTTCTCGTCGGGTCTCTTGTTGTTTCGTTTCTCAGACACGTTGAGGGAGAGTGTACCTGTCGCCCGAAATGCTGCCGATCATAAAGAGATCTGACAGCTGACATGCAAATGGAGATTGAAACTAACTTGCTTGTCTTTTGTTTGAGAAGTGTTTTGTCCTTTTAAAAAAAAAAAAAAAAAAGCCCTGAGGCCTATGGAATTGTTTCTACTTTCTTATTTAGCAGCAACCCTCCCGACCGGAGAGGAAACATTCACATTTAAAAATGCATATCTCATCACGGGAGCGAGGCCTTGCGATGCTGGTAAATCAAAAAGCCATTCATAGAAACACGATTGCAGCAGCAACTCATGAATATATTAATGTCTTTCGTATTGAGGGCCAAAATCACTGCCTTGCTGTTGTTTTTTCCCTACAGTTTGTTTTTTTTCTTTTTTATACTGTGTGATAAAGAGGAAGCTGCCTGCCCAAGCTTATTTTTAAGATCTTTCTATTCATATTGTTCCCCTGAGCCCCCATTCAAATGCTTAAGACTCACTCCCTGCGTCTCTCTAGGAAGCCGTTATCAAATCAAAATTGATAGATAAAGCAAAGATTTGGCAAAAAGCAGAGCCAAAAATCACTGAAAGGAAAAAAAAAACAGCAACAACAATGCAGGGGAATGATAAAGAAAGTGCACAAAAGCCCAAAGAACAAACGCACCAATGGGTCGCCTCATGATCATGTGCCAGAGGCCATTTGCGGTGCATTACTCTCTTCCTCCCTTCCTTGTCTTTCCTCATCTCCATTCCCTCCATCTCCCCCTGATTGAGCCCGTCTACCGTTACCGCGAGCGACAGGGCGATGCTTTTTCTGCTGACTGCTGTCTGTCCAAACACCGTCTCCGCTCATTCCTGTTGACTGAAAGCGGACACCTTTTTTTCTCCGGCCTCGTCTCATCCTCTTGTTTTCCCACTTCTTGTATTTTCGCCCCATTCATTTTTTTCTTTTTCCTCCCTCAGCTGACTCACTCACAGACACTTCCTGTCACTGTTGGTTCTGTCTGGCCGCTGCTGGTTGACACCGTATTGCAGAGGTGTGTGAATTTGAGCCCAGATTTTGTGCTTGCGTACGTTTGTCTGTTGGAAGGAAGGAACTGTTACACCTTGCTGCCTCGATAACTCGCCGGGACACTTCTTGGCTTGACAGTCAATCCTCTGTGTGCACACACACATAATAATAATAATAATAAACTCTAGTCTGGCTGCAACTGCTTTCCAACTTTCTGACTGGTTTGATTTTTCCTGTTGCTGAAATGGGACTGCAGCTCCATAACGCAACATCTGCCTCACCTGTCACCGTTGGAGCACCTGAGTCATGTTTAGTTACACTGCAGCACTGGTTTATTATATTGCACTGTTTCGAATCCAGCCATCGTCCAACTGAAGAGGTTTGTTAAACTTTCACAGCACTCAGATTGCTACGAAATTGAATATGAATATTTATGGTCCCTGGCGGATGAGTCTAAAACGGTGCTATTTGACCTTTACTCTCGTGCCACCAATCAGGTAAAATATCCTCTTTCCGCGACTCCTCTCATTAAGTGCTGTAAATATTCATTGTCCCCCTAGGATGAATTTGAATGCTGACCCCTGCTGACCTTTCATTTATCACTACGAATACACAAAAGAAAGGAATTTCGCTTGTGCATAAGAAATAGAACAGTCTAGCAGACCGGCAGTCTTGCCGTTTACTGAGCATATTTATGCTCCCCAGAGAATAAACCATGTCTGTTGTGCCCACTTCATGACATTCCCTCAACTCTACCCACTAGCTACTGTAATTAATAATCTTGGCTTGTTGCCTTCAAGTGTTCTGAGTGCGCTCATGCTCCCAGGGAGACTTTGATTTGAAAGACCCCGTGACCTTTTCTACACAACCACCTCAGGACAGCTCGCTCTGTTTCTGTTGAGGTCTAAGAATAGTTCCATGTTGTGTCTTCTGTTCTCTTTCTAAGGTCTTGGTCAGATGAAAGCAAAGTTAAGCTTTGCTATTGATGGTTGCTGCTTTAGCATCCAGATCTTTTGACACCTCGTGAACATACAATCTGTCAGGTCGAAAACTTTGGGCTGATTTGATAATTTGACATTTGCTAAAGGAACAGTTTGACAGTAAGATGAGAAAAATGAGGCCACTCTCATGTCTGTATGGTTAAATATGATGCTAGAGTTAGCAGCCTGTTAGCTTAGCATCAAGAAATGAGAAATCAACCAGCCTGACCGTGTTTACAACTTAATAATCACGAAGCTTGCATCTTGTAGGCTTGTTGTCACTGTAGATTTGCTGTGGAGACTCCAAGATATGAGTTTTTTTCCCCAAGTAAAGAAGACATAAAACATCTGACAATTCAAAGGTGTAAGTAGGTATAATTTCATATGAGATGAGTGCTACCAATCTTCTCTTTGACTCTCTGCAGGAAAGCGATTGAGCATATGTCCCAAAACATGGCCGTTGCTTTGTACCAGTTAACAACCCCCAGCCTATTCAGAAAATGCATTTATGTGGGAGTGAAGCTTATAAAATAGGATCTTTGTCCATGTCCTACGCTGTCGCTTGATTCTTTTCTCGCGAGCATACAAGAAGTAGTTTCAGATTTTGTAACTGTGCTTGTGAGGAGCATCAAGATTAGGATCTTCGTCCTAAAGAGCCCATGTGATGCTTTTTAAGGGTTTCCTCTTTCCTTTAGTGTGTTACAGAATTTCTGTGCCTTTTAAAGGTCTGCAGACTGAGAAAAGTCCACGTCAAGGGGAGTTATTTCTCCCATAGAAAACGCAGATCTTTATCTGCCTGAAACTCATCGTTTGAAGTCTCTTCTCTTCATGTGTTACTTATCTACATCACCATGGAAAGCATTTGCATATCGCCTGCCTTGCAGCTAGTTTCGTACGTCCTCAAAGAATTACAAGCCTCCTCACTGTCCACCTATAGTTGAGGTTGCAGTACATAACCGACGTCGCCTCACTTTTGTCAGGCCAGCTGACCCAGCAGAGCAAACTGGGATTTATGAAGAGGGGCCTTTAAATAAACTGGAGCTAAACCAGAGGAGGGTGCTGCAACTATAAACAGCATCAGGAACAATAATGCACTTTTTTGCCCCTTGGAGCATATAAACATTCTAAAAGAAATCAAATCATCAGCATTTAAGTGCACATCGTATGGGCTCTTTAAACTTTGTCTTACCCTTTCCGTTTACTCAAACCTGGGTTTAGTTCTAACCTTAGAAAACAGACACAGAAATAGAAATACTGTGCTGGTGACAGAAAACACTTGAAAAAGTAATTATAAATCAATAGCCGGGCCATCTATAAAACTGATTGTCCAATAGACCTTGAAAGTTTGGTCCAAGTGAATGTATTTTATTTTCCTTTTCGGTTAGTTGAGCAGAAAAGTCCCAGCAGGCATATGACCGCGAAAGGAATGAAGTTCCTTCTATTACCTTGTCTGTGATCGCTCAAACTGAATCCCGGTAATGCTGTTTTTCACACTTTATTCCTACTATATCAGGTAAAAGAGGCAGTATTTGAAATGTTACCGGTAAGGGGGAAAATGAGCCTTGGGACATAGATCTCTGACCCATATACTGGATATTCTACGCTCATAGGAGAATCTGTGAATTATCCATGTTGAGTGATGCATATATCCCCCCAGAGCTCTGTAATAAGTGACTGTTAACCTTTCTCGGGCCGCTCTGCCGCCTGCGATTCTGGCGTGCTTCGGAGGGAGAGACCTTGAAATAAAATTCTCATCTATCGCTAAACCTAAAGCCTGATATTTACTTTCCAAAACCGATCTTTGAGGAGAAGCAAACAGCAGCAGATTGAGCTGCCCGCTGTGCCAACATGTCGACCCGCGCTGTACGAGCACAAGTCGACGCGTAAACACACCGACGCGCGGCGTGACTGAGTGAGACATCATAGAGGTCAATCGCATGTCCTGCTGTCAGAACATGAGTCAGTCAGTGTCGATGAATCTTGACATGTGCATCATCTGCTCACGTACACACAGACTCGACTGTGTTAGTCAGAGAGGACTGGTTTGATGGCTGGTATTGGGAGGGGTGGAAAAAAAGCAACACAGCCTGTAGCCATTTTGCTCCTCTGAGATAAACTATAATGTCCTGGCTACTGCAGTTACTGGCAACAGGACCCTCCCCGGCTCTCTCTTTTCCTTCACTTTGTGTTTCCCCATTCTCTCTCTCTGTCCTCCTCTCTCTGGCTTTATTCCTTTTCTCTGTGCCTGCACCCCTCGCTCGTGCGTTGCTGCTTGTTTGTCAGATGATGTATAGCAGGTGTAGCAGCAGTGTGGCTTTAGTTGGACCTTGGAGGATTCTAAAAAACTCTCCCTACCTCTTCCCTTCCCTTTCTCCCTCCTCGATCGTCTGCGGGCTCGGTGTCGGTGTGCGCGGCACTGGATATAGCAGCGTTTGAGGTCTGTAGCCGGGATCAAACTGTGGCTTTATTGAATAATCCACTGACCTAGCCATCGATCTTTACATCTCTCCCCCCCTTTTTTTTCTTTTTTTTTCTTTTTCCACATTCTCTGCTTCTGCTCCTCAGCGGGGCTGCGGTATCAGTCATCTTTTAGAAAGCAGCCCTGCCCATGGTGTTCTCGCTGTCACAATGATAAACTGCTTTTAACCAAACGGGGGGGGAGAGCAAAGGAAAAAAGTTTGGCCCAAGATAAAGTGAATTTATAGATCAATGACATTAAATGGTTTTGGGCAGATGGAGTTTGCTAATTTAAAGATTTAAATTTTATCTCTAATACGTGTGTGCGCCTGTGTGTGTCTTTCTTTTGATTCCAGGGACTTGGCAGTGATCGTGGCATCCATTGCGTACAACACCTGGTTCACCAAGCTGTACTGCAAAGACATGCGCATAGTAACTATCCATTTTTTGTTCTTCTTTTTCTGTATCTTTCCTCCCTCGCAAACCTTCTTTCCAGATGAAGAATACCAATCAGTTAGCTTTTTATTTTTCTCCTCATGTTTCCTCTGCTACCCAGCGTGTTATCAGAACGTATTGATTTTATTGAATCTGCTTGTTTACTCGCTCATTCGGCTGACTCCAGTTCAAATACACAAAAATCAATCGTGTTCTCTTTCATTCAAGCTTCCCTACGCCGTAAACGCTCGATAGCGAGAACAAAGTTTAGCTTTTAGACACTCTGAATCATCATAAGCGATGCCGACAGTTGGAACTGACAGATTTTACACATCAATCAAAGCCGAAGCGTTGCATTGTGGTATTTTTAGCAGAGAGCGCTGACACCACATGGTAGTTCTGCTGCGGGGCATCTTTAAGGTTGTTCGATAGTTCCTGGAGTCAGGCTGTAGTTCACTGTGTATTAATTGTACAAGACAAGCAGGATGTAATCTCTCACCGGTTGGAGTTTATGATGATGATCCTGACTCGATTAGCCATCAGTTTGAACCACATATTCATAAAGCTCATAAGCCTCCCTGGGATGTCATTCTGAGACATAAAGTGCACTCATTGAAAATCAAGTTGAGAAAACAAGTTTGAAAGAGGACAGACGAGTCAAGGTTCAGCCTCAGCATAATTTTATGCATCTATTTAGCATTACATGGCAACGCTATTAAATATTCATCACTACTGTAAGTGGTATCGGCCCAAGGTGAACGACTTACACAACCTGAGCAGATAAGCTTACGGGTTTTCAATTAGCTGTGTTTCAAAAGATATCAGAAATAATTTTTTGGACTTTTAACCATGTGGCTGTTATTTTAAACAATTAATTAATTGATCACTTAGGCGGCATAATTATTTTCTTAACAAACATCATCTTTCATGCAAGAAAAACCCAAATGTTGCTTTTGTTGTGAGGAGGTGCGACTTTTTTATTGTTATGTGAAAATAAATTGGTTGGTTTCGGAGCGTTACGTAAAAAATAATTTGCAGAGGGCAGCGTGGACTCGAGGAAAATGTTTTATAGACCAAACAATTAGGTGATATATTAGAAAATTAAACAATGAGATTAGGTGATAATGAAAATCACGTCCCTGCTTGCTTGACTTTAAACTTGTCAGGTTATTTCACAACGCCAATCACAAGCGTTTTTTTTTTTTTACTGGAAGACTTCTCCCTGAATAGATTCCTCCTCCTGCTGTGTTTACTTTCAGGGGTCGGAGGTGGTGGACCAGGTCCTGCACACAGTCAGCAAGTCCAACAGTTTGGAGGAGCTCACTCTGGAGAACGCCGGCCTCAAATCGTAGGTTTCCTCTTCCCCCGACATCATCAGCCCTGCCCGTCACCCCTCTGGCTTCAATCTAATTTCCTCTCTTTCTTCTCCTCGCACCTTCCACCTCTCAGACGCTCCTCCATCTCTCCTCCTTTGTCCTCTCCTTCTCGCTGGCCTTTTCTCTCCCCGCTCCCATCTTCCTTGTCGTGTATCCTCTCTTCACATTTCCGCCCCCCTCGTCTCACCTCTTGACCTCAGCTCGTCTCACCTTTCCACTCCTCCTCGCCCTCCCATTTCGGCGTCTCGACCTTTTACAATTCCGCGTCTCCTCCCTTTTTGTGTCTCCCTCACCTCTCTTAACCTCCGGTATTTCATCCAATAAAACTCCAATAAAGCCTGTCCCCCTGTTTGCCTGCAGCCAGTGGAGGGGTGGGGGGGGGATTGTTTCTCCGCATTAAAACATTAGGGAAATTTTTGGGCTTCACCTGGCAAGACTTTTCACCCTCTATGCACGGCTAGTATCATTTAGCAGAGCGGTTTCCTTATTTAGTATTAATTGAGATGAATTGGCTGCCTCGGGGCAAGATGATTTACTGCAGCATAATGATGAAGTTTTTTTTTCTTCTTGTATTAAATCACTTCCAATAGAGAGGGCAATTTTTTGTTTGAGGCTCGCTGCAAGCCCTGCACCAAACACACCTCTCACCCCCTAAAGTCAATACAAATAAGATACTCAAACAGTAAAGGACTTCCACTGAAATATATGTTATGATATACAATTTTAAAACTGGGAAAAAGGTGCAGGAACAAACATAAAAGTACAACATTGAGACAATAAGCACACGTAGCTCGTTTGGTCCGGTATTTTATGCACTCAGAAATTTCAACTGTTTGATTTGGACCAAACAGCCGAACCTTAATCCAACAAAAAACTTGGCCTCAAACTGAACCGTAGCTTGGTTCCTAGTGTGAAAACATTTTTTGGATTGTTTGGACTTTCGGACCAATTACAGGAAAATTACAGCGGGCGGAAAAATGAAAAAGCTCACTGGGAGAGGAGGAGAGTTTTAAATGAAACACGGTGCGACAACAATATAAAGAGTCAACTGGGAAAGAAATCCTAAAAATGCACAAACTTTTCTAGGTGTTTTAGGAGAGGCTGAGGGAAAGGATGGGATCCGTCTAAGACAAATAAGCTGTTGTGAAGGTGCACAACGCAGTCAGAAAAGGTGATGAATCAACTTCTAGTTAAAAAGTGAGTGATGTTTATCCTCTTTGCGCCCCCTTTTTTTTTTCAAATGCATTCGCAACGTCGACACGTCAAAAGACACAAAGTTGTTTTATCATCTTGACAATTTGGTAGCTGTGGGGTAAAAGGCAGACGCTATTGATCGGCGTGAAGTTATTTCTCCAAAGTCGTATCGCGCCGGTCGGTGAAATGTGGTCTGCGCGGAGACGTAATGCATTTTATGTTCCGCATAAAATGTCATAAATATGTAAATATTTTGGCTTGCGCGCTGCAGACAAGAAGCTTCTAGGACATCGTAGCGGGAGCAGCTGTATGCATTAATGCAAAATAAGAAATTGCACTTTCTGCTGTAACACACGTGCTAATATTTGGAGGTTGCAGCTTCGACTAGAATGAGCCTCCTCTGCCTTCCAATGTGAGCAGTAGCTTAGAGTGCAGGTTTACAATAGCAAGGTTGTGGGTACAGTTCCTCTTTGGATCATTTGTTTCTCTTATTGCTCACCCTGTTGCTCGATTGTTGAGACAATGACAATAAGCCATTAGTTGCAGATTAGAGGATGAACATTTTCACTATTGCAAATTGAAAAATAATATGGTCTAAATGTGAACCATCAAAAACATGTTTCCAGTGGGGAAAGGATGCTCACTGGGGAATGACAGGAGCTATTTTTATGACAACCTGGTTTGCATTTTTGGCACTTGTCTGCAAACTAATCAATGTCAAGTACAGGGAGCTGCAGCCCACGTAAGTGAGGACGACAAGGCATCAGTATCTTATGTAAAGTTGTTTAGAGCGCTTGCATAATTGTAACGTGAAACCCAAACTAACCGGAACAAATATACGCAATTAGACATGAGCCTCGTTCCAGACCTTGGTTTTGGACTTTTAGGTGTAAAAAGGCCTTAAATATTAGTTTTGTTTGTTTAGCATGTTGGTTTTTAAAAAAGCTGACACTTAATATTAAAATGCTTTTTGTTTGATTATTTTATTTGAGGATCACGGATGAAAAGAGTTTCTACTAATCCTGACCGTCAATGATTCTTTTCTTAAAGTAAACAGTGATTCCAGCCAAATAGAGCTTTGTGAATTACAGTAAATTCAGTTTTTCATGTGATTTGGCTAGCCTAATGTGCTTCTTGACCTTTGAAGTTTCTTTACTCAGCAGTGAAAAATGTGTTTTGGTTTGTTGTTTCTACTCTCGGATGTTTGACCTTCATTGATCAGAATGATGTATGTTCAAAGTTTGACTCTGTAAGACTGTGAAATCCTGCCGCCGAGAGTGGAAAGTTTCTCTGTACTTACCTAAAACCTGAGTTTAAAGAAGGTATCTGTGAGCAGGATTTATGACAAGAAAACCTCCATCGCAGAGGCACAGACTTCCAGCGATGCAGGAGACACACTTGTTAACCTTAAGAAATTAAAAATATGGACGTCTTCAGCGATTCTGGATTTTTTCAATTGCCACCAGAGTGAACTTTGCATGGAAACACAGTAACAGATGCAAAATGTTGTTCAGAGCAGAGTGTTTTTATAGAATCTAACATGCCTGGAGGGGGGCTCTTTAAAGCAGCTACTGTATAATTGATTTGTTTTGCCACTTGTGGACGAACAATCCGTATGAAAGTGTTGGCAAACAGCAGACACGGATCAGCATTCATTCGGAGCTGCGTTTCTGGCCGACAGACAAATATAATTCTAATATTCGCTATCGTTTTAGTGTGCCTTTGGAAAATATTTGACTCTTTAGCAGCTAAACGCGCCGTCTTCTGTTATTAACTTCGTCTGCGGTTTGGTTCTGAGCGTGTTTGTCGGAGCTTTTTTCTAATATTTTCTGCATCATTTGGAAACAGTATGAGAGTGAAGAGAGCCAACCAGTCAGTTAAAATATGCTCAAAGACGCAAACACTGAAAGTCTGGCCTGTGACTCGATAACTCTAAAACATTCATCATGTTTTTAAATGATTTCTGCGTAGCTTTGGCTGTATGCTTCAGGTCACTGTCTTACTGGAAAACAAATCTTCTTCTAAGTTGCAGCTCTCTTCATGACTGCATCTGTTTGTCCTCCAGAATTTCCCTAAATTCATTTAGCCTTCCACCTTTACAAGCCTTCCAGTTTAGGCTGAAGACAACCGTCCCCACATAATGATGCTGCCACCACCGTGCTTTACAGTTCGGGATGGTGCGTTTGCGATCATGTTTGCTGCCTGCCAAGCATAACATTTAGTCTGATAACCCAAAAGCTACATTTAGTCTCCTCAGACCCACAGACTGTATAAAAGATGGACGTAGCTACCGTGACGTCACCCGTTGGTTTCTGCACTGAGAAAATGAAGCCAGGGTTTTGCTACTTCCTGGTTGACATCTTGGATTTTTGGAGCCAGTGACGCAAAAATCGTCGGAGGGGGGCGGAGCCATAGGAGCAGCGATTGGTCAGACGGATTGAGAGGCGGGCCCTCTCTGCCCGCCCACATTTACCGCCTTCTGCTCGCTTCATCTGTATGGTCGCTGCCGACTGTCAATCAAGCCAGCCACGCCCCTTGCCCCGCAAAATGTTGACTATTTTTTAAAAATTCAGTATTGATTTATTTTCAGATTGGCCACCTGATCTCTGGACTTGACCATGAAAACTAATTAAATAAAATTCCTGAGCTTTTTCGTGATCTGTGATCACATCTTTTCCAATTCATTTCTATGGGAGCCACGGCTTTTTGGAGCCAGCACTAGCAGACGTAGTGATACTGCAGGTTTTTGACACTTCCAGGTTGGCTTCATTTTTCAGGGCCGGTTGCTACGTCCATCTTTTATACAGTCTATGCTCAGACCAAAAACATTCCTTCAGTTAACTTCAGAGTCTCTCACCTGCCTTCTGGCAAGCTCTAGTCGAGATTTAATATAACCTTTTTTCAACATTCGTTTTGTTTTTGCCACTCTCCCACAAAGTTTTGGCTGGTGAACAACAGGCAGCAGTTGTTGTATCCACAGTCTCTGAAGCTTGTAACTCCCTCAGAGGAGCCATAGGTTAGTCTAAAAACCTCTCTAAGTCTGGTATTAATCCCATTCAGGTGTGTCAAGATGAGCAAAACTGGGATGAGATAATAAATAGGCAACAAAAGACTGAGTCCAAGCACTTCTATACACAATCTACAGAAGCTCAATGCCCAGGGGCTCCATCTGCTAATTGCTGATTTAACCGTAGGTGACGTTATGGCGCATCGTTTTGATTTTATAGACCCTTTTTAGGTGCACTTCCTTTACCTTTACATCAAAAAAAATAAAAAAAAAAAGTACCAAAACTGTAGCTTGACTAAAATGTTTTGCGCTCGTAAGTGAAAATGTGAAACTTTATGAGCCGCACCGAAGCAAATTACAAAACCAATTTATTCAGCCTTTAACAGCAATATTAAATTAGCAATTTTACGGAGAATTCAGTTTCCCTTTCTAACATTGTCTCCAGGGATTTCCCGCAGAAGATGGCGTCGGCGCTGTCGGAGAACCCGGCCTCTGTGATTCACTCCCTCAACCTGGCTCATAACACGCTAGACAACCAAGGTACCGGCCTGGACTCTCTGAACTCGTTCTCATCCCACCGCCGCCTCTCTCAGGGCACCTCTGATTGTTCTTTTGCTATTACTTCTCCACAGCTTTTGTTTGCTTTCAAAGAATTCCAAATCAGTCTCTGTCCACAGAGAACCTTTATTTTCAGCTTTTTCTTTGTTTTTCTCTTTTTTCCCCCCACCCCCCCTCCTCTCTCATCTGTCTTTTCAGCTGTATGTTTGGTCCTTCTCTTTAGAAAATTGCTTTATTTTTCTGCTTTTGCTTGCAGCCCACCACACAACCTGAACCTTTTACACTTCTCCACACACACACACACACGTACAGTATGGAGGCTATAGAGGAATGCATTTTAATTGCGTCTGCCTTAGTCATCGTTATATATATTAACCATTAAGCCGCTTTCTGCTTTGTGTGTGTGCAAGTGGAGGCAGACTGAGGTGTTTGTGTGGAAGCCAGGGTCAGGCTTTGCATGCACGCCAGCATCACTCATTAGCTAATTTCTGTCCTCCCGTCTGACACTTGTCATTTCCACTCGCCTCAATGAATTCTTTGTGCTCACACTTGCCACCCCCTGTCTGCTGCTGTGTGTGTGTGTGTTTACTGACAGTCTGCTGGGCTTCCTTGATTGCGATTACAACCACTAAATTGCTGCAGCCTTAACCATCACCATAATACCCATCATCACAGCTAAGAGTGACCTTCAGTGCTGTGCTTATTAGAGGAGTTGCAAAAGTGTGGTTTTTACTTTTAATGCCTTCCAAAGTAGGAGTTCTGTGTGTACACATTAGCTAAAAGAACGAAAAACGAACGCCAAGAAGATGAAGTAACCAGGAAACGAGGTTTGGCATCCCAATGAATTCCTTTTTTAATAAAGCAGAGTCTTTCATATTGTCATCATGGGTGCAATGTGTTTAATAAAACTGCTGAGCGTAACCCGCGTGTTATGTAATCTGGCTTGGCGTAAGGTGTTCACATGGGTTTGTCGCTGCGGCGCGTACGTGGGAGAAGGTGCGATTGTACAGTATGTTGGTGTGATGCTTTTTTTAGCCGTAGTACGCTTGTGAGAGCGTGCGTGCGGTTTTTGGAGGGTTTGTGTGGAAGGAAATTGTGTTTCAGCCCGGTGCTGTGTGGCAAAATGGCTGCAGGGCGTAGGTGCCGCTCAAACGAAGCTCTGCTGCTTTCTTTATCCCAGTCAGGAATAGAATATTTAAATTTCACATTTTGTTGTAAAAGGTTGGAAAAAATTTTGAAAGCATAAGAAGATTCAATAAAGCAAAGGAACCAAAAAACAACAGATGAGTTAAATTGACATTTAAAGTGCGTTCATTGATTCATGTCAGCATTAAGCAACACGCAACATCAATGAAGGATTCCAGGGGATGGTTGGATTTGCTGGGTTTTCATGTATAATTAGTGGGTTCAGATCTTTAGCCCTACATTAGTCATGTTATCTTGTATAATTGAAAAGGCTGTGAGGGCTCGGTCGTAACATTTATATTAGTTAGGTTAAGTTGGGTGATTTCTAAGACTGTAGGGTCTTGGGTATATTATTTATTAGGTTCGGTTATTCTCCGCTGTTTTTCATTATAGTCACATAAATTAGTATTATATGTAACTTTTGTCGTACTTAATCCTTAATATGTAGATGGTTAAAATCAGTCAGTAAATGATACCACAGGGTCCTGACACCAGTGTTTACACCTGTTAGGCGACTTTTCTAGTGCCGAGCTTAATCCTCTTTACTCGGGGTCACTTTGGGGCAACTGCTGTTGTCTCTAATGTGCTTCAAACAATATAAAACACACACAAAAAACCCCGACTTAACTCTTTTATCAAGTTAATACTGCATGCATAGGATCTTTTATTTGAATTAGTGTTGAGCATTTGTCTAATTTGATATTTGTTTCATGATAAAGCACTTTGTAACTTTGTGATATTAGTTATTTTTATTCTTACACCTTAAAGGCTGCTGGTTGCCGCCTGTTGTCTTTGAACAGTGGATTAAATAGATTTTTGTTCTAATAGCACAATAAAATATCCTCAAACCTGTTTGAAGCTTTAATTTGTCTGTGCACCTCTTTCATCACTATTAATGCTACAGCCCATTATTGTTGGGGGCTTAAGTCGGGTTGCAACTCATTTGTTTACAAAAAACAGCTTAATTAGGTTCTCAGTCTGAGACGATACGGACGTAATCCTTTAACTGGGAGTGTCAGGCTGTTCTTTTTGTAAATAAATGAGTTGCCACATGAGGAACAATTCTTAAAGTCAGTCTAACAGGTGATTGTGCGGTCGGTTATAGCCGACTAATGTATTTACCACAATAGGAACAGACGACCTTAAGAACAAGCCACGACTCAACGGTACACCTGCGTCAAAGGTCCAGTGCTTAAGCAACAAGCTCTTCACCTCTGATGTAGGACCGTAGTTAACTCTGATTTCTATCACTGATTAAACTTTCCTGATTAACTGATTGATCATTTAGTCTGTATAATATTTCTGAAAGTGTCCCTTACAGTTTCCCAGAGCCCAGTGCAGTGTATTAAATTGCTTTTCTTTGTCAAACATTCCAAAATTCAAAAGATTTTGGATTCACTATCGTAGATGAGAGCCAATGTTCACATTCGATAGTTCAGAAGCAGTAGATTTTTTTTTTTTAACCATTTTTCCTTTAAAAATAAAAAATGTTTGCCAATTTAGTTGCTGTTATTCAAGAAATGTGTTCAATAGTGAATTATTTCAGCTCTAGATTGGTGGATGTGTGGGTTTTTTGTGAATAAATTAGCTCATCGTCTCCTCTCCTCGTCTCCTCTCCTCACGCCAGGAGTCTCCAACCTGATCCAACAAGTGTGTCGCCTCAACAAGGGCCTTCGCCTCCTCAACCTCTCCAAGACGTCGCTCTCCTCCAAGGGTGGGTGATCTCCTCTGAAACACAGCAGCCCCTGGTGGCCGACCCCGCACACTTATTTTTTTTTTTACGATTGTTAAATATAAATGAACGTCGAATTGAATTATTCAGCCGGTACAAAACGGTGTGTCTCGCTCAAAGACACAGAGTGGAAACTTGCTGTCAAATCTGGGTTTGAACTCGGGCGGATTCATTCAGGAAACAGTCTCACGACCGCAGCGCTGCCCTCACGCAGATGAACACACCAGTGATTGCGCCCGTGTGATCCATCTACCAAATAATAATCAGGTCAGAATTATAAGTAGTTGATCTGTTTTTTTTTTTCTGCCCTAAAATCCTGCAGAGGAATTAGTGCAGTGGCCCAGTTGTGTTGCTTTTATCCCAGACAATACAAGCATCCACTAGTATTACAGCAGAATCAGCTGATAATGACACAGATTTGGATCCATACATTCATAACCTCATTTTGAGGGTATTTTTAGCCATTATAGCCCAGTTCAAAGCATTTTTGATCCTTTATAGGATTTGTGGGTAATGATGTTTATCTGATTGAACTGATCTATAGTTTTTTTTTGAGGAGGAGGAGTAGCATACTGTCCTACAAAGGCAAAATACAGTGACTACATCTTTATTAGGTCAAGAACAGTTGGGGTTTTTGGATGTCTGTTTTAGAAGGTAAAGAAAAGTAATGCCGGGAAAGGAGATCTTTTTTTTATGAAACAACAGAAAAGACTTTATTAATCCCAGAGGAACATTCAGTTGTCACAGCAGCAAAGTTTAACAAAGGGGTAAACTAAGCAAAAAGACAACACAGAATATTAGAGTAGGGTATGAAATGAAGGTTAGATAAAGTAAAATGAGATGAAAATGTAGTGTAGAAAAAGTCAACACATTTACAAGAATATATAAGAGAGATACAGAAATGTGCAAATCAACAGAATATGCAAATGTCAAGAGAAAAGCTAGCTGGTGAGATGGTTCAGGCACCGAATTATTTGGCACAACTTTTAGCACTGAATCAAACACTGGAAGCTTTTGTTTGTCCCATACACTTTGTTAATTTCCTAACAAATTATGTAAATAACTGTGAACAAGAAAAATGGTGCAGATGCATGTTTCGTACATTTATCCTGAGAATAATCAGTAAAATGTAGCTCCTCTTTGGCAGCAATATCAACAGGATGGCAGGAGTTTGTTGCTCGGTTAATGTTTCAGTTGGGAACGTTGATGCTTTTGTTTCCCGACAGTTTTGATTTCAGAGAAGGAAGCTGGAATGTTTTCTGTAGCTAAAATTTACAGACGACCCCTAAATGCCTCACATGCACACTATCAGTAGATGCTGCAGTTTACTGATGTTCCCTAAAAGCCTTTGGTAGGTGCTACAATCGACCAACTTTCTCTAAACTCCTCACATCTGTCAGTAGATAGCTGCACACAGACAAGACTCTAGTCTCCACTCAGGTACTGCAGCGTGCACGACTCAGGCAGGTGTGACCCAAAATTAGCTGTAAAACAAATTGAAACCAAGAGATTTTGTCCACTTTGGCGAGCCGCCCAGAGACACACACACACAGACAGACTTGCTAAATGTCACCAATGCGTCCAAAATTATGAACAACAAAGACTAAAGAATAGTTTTTTTGTCCTTGCATTACGGAAACGATCGACACAGGAAGAGTGCACTGTCTGAATTTTTAGTTGTACCATTTTTTGGGGGGTAAAATAGATCAACTGCATGACATGGAAGCGTTACAACTTCTTTTCTTAACTTCTTTGCTTCTTTACTTGCCCTCATGTGTGACGGCGTGCACGAGGACATGTTGAATGTAATTATAAGGCTAAATAGGCGTGATATATCAGCCACACGCAATGACCTTGATACCTTGTTAGCGTGTGTTCTTGATGGGGAAAACCACACTGGGTGCACTTTTTAAAGCCAGTGGGGTTGACACACAGTGATTCAGGGGGAATGCAGTGATGGTGCTGACCTTGAACGGTGGGTGTAGGTATGACTTTGCAGGGGCTGAGCACTTTTTGTTGAATATTTATAGATCTCCGTGGCTCCCCTCCTCCTTCCTTCTGTTTCTAAAACACCTTAACACACACTTATGCTATAAACACACACGCGTGTCACCTCTTGGACGTGATCAGACATGCAAAACAGATATGTACCGCCACGCGCGTCTTCCATCGCGCCGTCGCTCCCGCTCGCACTTGACAATGTCACGGCGACTGGATGGCTTCCAAAAAAGTCTCCACTTCGAGCAGAATGAAGCAGCTGATAGATAGATGGAGCGGGGATTAGACACCCTGTCCCCTCTTCCCCTCATTTCCCTCCTAATCGCTACAAATTAGGGATGAAGAGCTTAGTGGCCTGCCAGCTTCGGAGCAGCGGCTTCATCCGCACGTGCTTCCCCCAATTCTAGGAAACAAGCAGATATCCACTTCCTTTCCTATAATCGATGCCGCATCTTAGAGTGAAAAATGCACACAGTAATGACGGCTGCAGACTTTTCCTATTCTTCGCCGCTGCTAGACGTTTCTCCTGTGTTGTTACTCCGTCTATATTTAATCCGCGGTGTGCCGTGTTGTGCATCGGTTTTGCAGAGTGAGGATTTTAATGAGGGGTTCCATCAGGCCTGTGGGTGTAATTGTGTAGTGATCTGATTTGAGAGAATGATTTTCTTTTGTTTGGCTTTCAGGGTGCACTTGGAAACTGGGATAGTTGTGGTGGGGAGGGAGGGGGGGGGTGAAAAAGGTGGCTGGCTTCATCTGAAAGCTCTTTTTCATGTACGCCTGCCACATGAGCTCACAAATCTCTGCTCAATTATTATTATTCTTTTCTTTGTTGCGACAGAGTTTGCTCTTCCATTGTGTAGTTTTGTAGTCATTAGTTGCTAATGTCCAGAGCATTAAATTGGCTCACTGAGGAGGGGAAAAAAACAAAACAGCAACAAAAACACGATGATTATAAGATGATTAAATGACTCGATGATTATTATAACTTGTTTATGCAAACCGCCTGTCTGTTCCCTTCTTCTTCTAATCCTTTATCACCTCTTCCTTCCCCTCAATTAGGCGTGGTTTCCTTGTCCCAGGCGCTGTGTTCAAGTGACGACTACTCCAATTCTCTGCTGCATCTGGACCTCAGCAAAAACCCCGGAGTTCTTTCTGGAGAGGATGCCACGGTGAGGAACTTAATCATCAAACCTAATGGGGGGGAATCGGCGTGTGTGTGCATTTCCATTCACCAATTATAAAGCACATTTTCCAGTTGCACATAAATATCTTGGACGGGAACATCCAAAGATTGTGACAGAAAGTTGAGATATTAAAAAAAGTTTTTGGGCAAAGGAGGAAAAAAAATGGTAATTAATGAGTTGAAAAAAAAAGATGTTTCCACTGAGCCTTCCTCCGATTAATAGATGGAACATATATAAATGTTTCCATTCGTTAGAGCTTTAACTGATGCTCTTTTAATCACGTTGTCTTTTCGTTCCCTCGTTTTCCTTCAGTGATTTAATAGCACCAAACTGAAGAATTAGCGCCACCAGTTGTTCATCTTGACGCCCCTAAATCCAAATATTATCAAAATGACAATAATGGAAATGCACAAAAACTGACTTCCTCACTTCTGTTTCATCAGACAGCTTATTAACTCCATGTCAGAGTGAAAGCAGATCCATTGCAGATTTAAAATGCACAAGTATTGACTCTGTTCTTTGTAAAAACTGCCATCAGGCTACGCAGTGAGCAGCATTTTTTAGTTCACCCACATATTCATATTCATACGGCCAAAACGCTCGATGTTGGTCTCATCAGACCACAGGGCCTCCTTCCAGCTTACTTCATCGTCTCCCTTTGGCAAACTGTCGCTGAGATATGAGCCATCTTTCTGTTTTCCACACTCCTGTAAAACTGCGAAAGGTGACGCTCCCAGACACTCGTTTATTTGCCTGCGCAATCTTCTCCAGGCTGATCCTCTGAAGCTCCGTCAGAGTTGCCTCGGGTTTCTTGGTGGCCTCCCTCGCTAGTCTACCTCCCGCTCGGTTTTTTAAGGACGGCCTGTTCTTGGGAGATTTATAGCTGTGCAATACTCTTTTCATTTTTTAATGATTGACTTAACTGTACTCCAGGGGATGTTCGGGAACTTGAAAATCTACCCCTTGACTCGTGCTTCTCAGTCACATTTGAGCTGAGCTGCTTGGAGAGGGTTTTGCGACGGCACTCGCTCGCCAAAAGTTGGAATTTGCAGGGACACTACAGCTTAAAATCCTTAAGGGCACAAAGGTGATCTCCAATGCTTAATTTGGCTCCGTCGGTGGCTATTTAGGTGTATTCTTGTGCAAAAATTTGTTTTATATTCTGGGTTTACAGTAAATAAGTAACATTAAATCTACTTTGATCGTTGGAAAAGAAAAGAACTTCCAAGGGTAAACACTTTAACAGACTGTATGTTTTTTCTAATGTCAACTTGTGTATGCGCTTGCCTCTTTCTGACATTCTCTAAAAGGCACCTTCTCCTCTTTCTCATGCAGAACCTGTACCTGTTTCTGGCCCAGCCCAACTGCCTGGTCCACTTGGACCTATCTGGAACAGACTGCACCGTAGACTCGGTTTGTACTCGCTGTCTCTGTTGCAGTCACTATCCACCCCTCAGCGTCTGATCTCATCTCCAGGATGGGATCCAGGCCAAGAAACAAAGGGTTACCGCGCTGAATATGAATCGCCCCCCCCCCTGCACAAAACCTCAGTTGACTCGGTCTTTCTTGGAGCTCCTCTGTGCAACAGCGCTTCGGTTGAAGCTCTCAGAAGGCACAACAAGCAGAAATGTATAGTTTATGAATTATACACATGATGTCTTGTGTGAAAAGTACACAGAAGGATTTGTTGTTTTTGTTCACATCTTTGTCACTACTGAGAGACGATTTTGTACGCGGTTGTTGCTGTGGCTAAATTTAGCGAGTCGGTACGGCAGCGGGACAAAACAACGCCTCGCCGCATTAGCAGAAGCGCTAACAGCTGAAAAGGATGTCAGAGATTTCCCTCTCTGAGCGTTCAGTGGCCATTTTTGAAAGCGCCTGCCCCTGCCGGTTACTGCTGAGATGGCGCTTGTGGATATATGCGGCTCAGGAGAAAAATGTTTGAAAGTTACTACTGTGCTCAGGATGTTTTTAGTGTTGGTGTCTCTCAGGAAGATGTAGAGGTTTGTGGGAATTGCTGGCTGAATGGGAGGTCACTTTTATAGTTTATGTCTGGTCGCCGGTGCTTTGTCAGTGGTCTATTGCTGCTGATTGCGAAAGCACAGTAGGGGACATGCAAGGTTGGACAGAAGAGACATAAATATCACTTTATTTATTGTTCCCTCCACTGCAGTGAGGTTACAGGTCAGTGCCAGCCACACATCTACCTTGAGCCCTGCTCTTAGTCAGCGACACTTCACCGGAGCAGCGCAAACACTCCACTCTGTATAATGTCATGATGCCACTTTATATTACGGATCAAGTATATTTGTCCAATCCGAAGGTTGTAGACCAGAACTTTATGCCACTTTATATTTGTACTTCGCTTTAGAGACGTGTTTGTCAAACCGTCAACCGTGAACGAGCGGTAGAACTTAAGAAGTCTGAACTTTAGTGGGAGATGTGGGTGCTTTTGACTTAACTGTATTTCTTAATGGCTACACTGTTTGCATTTTTAAGATTTGCAACATTTTAATAACAAAAATCAACCTCGAAAACATGTTGTTAAATCTTCCTCTTACATGATTTTAGTCTGGAACGTGTTTCAAGAATTTTCTTCAACCAGCTTTTTCTTATTTCTGATCCTTTATTCTCTCTTGTTTCAAAACACACACTCTCCTTTTTAAAAAGAAATGTTTAAAGCAAATGCATCTTTATGCAAATGCAGCTAAACCAGGTGCTTCTCAGCTTTAGGACATTTCCAGAGTCCAAATTGGGGCTGGAGCACATTGATTAATTCATAGGCTGTAGTTGTGCAAATGGATCAATGTTTACACACAACTGTGTGTTTTGTGGGTCAAAGTGGACAAAGCAAACCGATTTATTCAACCTAAACCAGGTGTACGATCATCATCGGATGATTGGCTGAACACGGTGTCAGATGTATAAAATCCAGGGCTGGGAGCTGCTCCAGTCAGTGTCAAGTGAAACAAATCTAACAGCACGTTATAAACACGGGAACACAGAGTTCTCCTCAAGTTACAGGAAGTACAACGAAAAGTACATCTGTCAGAGATGACAACCCCAAAGGAAACAAGACAGTTGAAGCACTTCATTATGTCGGAGGGAAGAACATCATGTCAGAAGAAAACCTTACCTCTTTTTAAGTTATGAGGATAAAACTTACAAAAGAGGAGCTATAAATATTGTATTTGGAAGATTGTTTTTCATACAAATTGTAGGTTTAGCCTCAAAAACACAATCTTTCTCTTATCAGGTGATTTAAGTCTGGAACAGTTTTTTTTTTCTTAAATCCACTTTTTCGTATTTCTAACTTGCCTTTTCCTTTCTTATTTTAAAGTCATTTTTCAGAATATTTTTAACTAAAAACACCAAAACAGTACTGTTGTACTCGCTGCCAGCACCAACCCAGTAAACTAGCAGCACCTCTGATTTTATTTTGCTGTTAGTTGTTAGTTAACAGTAAACCCAGTGAGGCTGATAAAATAACCAACACATGGCCGACTCCTCTACTACCAATCAAACCTGTCATATATAGTGCTAATTACAAAATGCAAATACATGAAATGGCTACATCTAATAAAATGACACATCTTATAAAAATGGGGTTTGTTGTAGAGCTTTTAACTGCATAATACTTTATAAAATAGTTAAAGCTCCATCTCATCCGGCTCCAAGAAAAATGTGATGAATAAATCCTGTAATCCATACATAACACTATGATGATTATTTTATTTATTTATTATCACTGGATACATTTCCTTTTACATAACTATGCTTTTGAATCCAGAACTTTTACTTGTGATGGATTATTTTATTTATTTTTTTGCATTTCTTTCTGCTTTTACTTAAAAACAGGGTCTGAAAAATTCCTCCACTCCGGCTTCCTTCCAACCGGGATGCCTCTTTTCACTTCGCTGTGATACGTTTGCTTTCTTCCCTGGTTGCACTTCACTTCACTCGAGCAGTTTTAAACACCTAAAGGCAGAGAGCTTGTCAAGGAGGAATCTGTTTCATGGAGGACTAGTCCACCCTGTGAAATCCTTCCTGTTAATGTGGGCCATGAATTTTGTATTGAATTATGTGCATGAGTGGAAGTCATTGCGTCTGTTCTGCTTTATTTGCAAGTTCTCCAACTCTTCCCCCCGCCTCCGCCACCACCAGAGGGTAAAGAGTTCTCTTTATGATACCTGCTTTCTGTCCTGTTTTTTTCCTTATTTGTCATTTACCCTTTAGAGAAGAACCGTCCTGAGGAGAATTAGTCTTTTTTTTTTTTTAGTGTTAGCCTCTTGGATTGAATTATTAATAAGTTTCTGTTTTTAATCTGCGCTTGACGTACAGACGACGGTCGATTGGTCAATTTGCGTGATGGATCACACTGCCGAGGAAAGATGGATTCGTCCGATAGTTTAACCTCTCGCGAGTGACGAGACGCTGCTTAAAGTCTTACAAGAAATTGGCTTTGGATGCCAATCATATTGGCCTTTTCTGTCCGACAAACACACATATATCATCTTTATTTTAAGATTAATTGAGTCCCAGGTCCCTCTGCATTCGTTTCAGTACTCTCCAAAGCTCTTTATTTTGAAAGTCAGCCATATCATCTAAAGACGAGAGCTGGATTTGATATGCTCATTGATGGATGATAGAAGGCTCCATCACACAAGCAGGAAAACTGTATGTGACACAGAATACTCGATTTCCTACACAAGTTTATGTGGCTTTCTTTTTTTTTCCTCCTCCATCACATCTTTAAAGTGAAACTCGACATTTGATGGATATTCAGTGTAACAAATTGAAGAACTGCAAGTAATTCATTTTTCCCGGTATGGGTTCAGCTTGACTTTGATTCAGTGCAATGCAATTACGCTTCTTATTGCCCATTTGTTCCCACTATTGGGAATTAGTGGGCTTCTTCGACAGATGAGCACTTCCCGTACACACTTTGAAGGACTGGTAGAAACCCCGGCTGCTGTATTTCACTCAGCTGCTGGAGCATTTATTAACCCTTAGACGTGCATTTGTTGAGGAACAATAATGCAAAGTCAGTGTTGTTTTCCATCTGTTAGACTCTGGAAGCTTAACTTCACTGTTTTCTTTTCTTATTTTCCATTTATATAGGGAACAGATTTGATTTAAGAAGCCTAACAACTTCTCTCACCACAAACTTTCTCGTATACATTTCTTAAAAGTGTGGTGGAAACCATCAATGAGGCCACATCTGACTGAGAATAAAACTATGCAGAAAGTAAATCAGTGTTTCAGCCTAAACTCCATTTGATTCCCTGCTAGTAAAGGGCTCAAAACTATACTTTGAATCCAGATTTTTGTTAACTCCTCTATTTAGGGACATGCAAACATTTCAAGTCGGAACTGCCAGAACAAAATAAAACGTCTTCAAAAAATTGCACAAGTGCCTTCGTGACACTACAACTGAAATGAGATGTATAATTTAAGAATCGTATTCATAGCCGGCAGCGAATAATCCAGGTTCTTTATTTATGTATCAGCACCAAATACCAAATATGAAACTCCAATGTTTGACATTATTAGATAGTGGTGGAATATTTGGTGCAGGAGCGAGGGGTTAGATCCCTTCAAATATCACAGAATAAATCTTATTGTGGGATGATTCATGCAGACAAAAGGAAGAAAAAAAGAAAGTTCTGCTACACAAATCTGTCGTCATTGTTTGTTAATAGTAAATCACTGCCTGCTGAAAATTTTAGCAAGAAATGTACATTTGAAATATGATAGTGATCACAAAATACACACTGCTTTTCAGAAACTTTGTTGAGGTTTTATATCCATCCATCCATTATCTATACACCGCTTAATCCTCACTAGGGTCATGGGGGGACTGGAGCCTATCCCAGCTGACTCAGGACGAAGGCAGGGGACACCTGGACAGGTCGAGGTTTTATATGTTAGTTAAACTATTAATGTCATGAAATGTAACTGTAGCTGTTAAATTAATGTTGTAGAGGAATTAGTGTCGACTGGGTATCTGGGAAGTCTGGGTGTTTCTCAGTGGGCTGTTTTTGTGAGGTCGGGTCTTGATTTTTTCACCGACAATCCAACAAACTGATACTCGGTTGATCATCGTAGCTGCAGCGACACAACTGGTTGAATCTGTAATAGCAAACATCAGCTAAAGAGAGAAGTTTATGCTAAATGTCTCAAAAATGTTCATTAACTTTAGCTATAAATGGATAAAATACATATGTAACTGGGTCGTTTTCTTCTAGATTAGTCATCAGTTCTTCTCCACACCATAAAATGTTTTGTACAACGCTCTGCAATGTAAACAAACATGTGAATGTGGCTCTGAACAAGAAGGAAAATGCTGCAGGAGGAGGACGGAGCAGGAACCAGCACAGATCCAGCTCTCACTATTGCAGGTTATTGTGTCACGTGCGTCATTCATACGATCATGCCGGATGTCACTCAAGTTATTTACGGTTGCATCACAACACATAAAACGAAGTGTGTCGCAAAATACATCCAATAATTCTGCCAATAAAAGCTAAAGGCTGTTTAGTCTGAATTAGGTGATCATTACATTTGTTGTAAATGTATTGCTTAATGATTCATTGATGGGCCGATGTGTTGTGCCAGTTTGAAATGAATCAAATTGGGGGGCCAGTAAATTCCCCGGCTGAGTACATAAAATGAAAAACTAAACTAAGTCCCTCGGAGTAGTACTTAAGTACAGTGATTTAGTGTATATTTAGGTATTCTCCACTGTGCAGCTGATTAGGCTGCGGGCACCAAGTCGATGGCTACTTGAGACAAATCCTCCCATCAGTGTTTCCCACTAAAGCCGTAGCGGCTCAATTTAAAAGTCTCCAAACACAAGATCCGAAGGTCACGCGCCTTTGCTCGAGTGGTAGTGGCTCTTTATCAAGTGGGCATAACAGATGTGTGTCTGCTTGTTTTTTTTTTTTCTTTATTTAAAACTCTGCCGGGAATGCCGTACCGGAGAATTTATGACATCCATTTCTGATGATGGCCTTTTTTCGTGGAAATTGCGTGCAGCAGATGTTAAATACGCTCGTGTGCGGTTGTAGAAACTTAATGCAAACATTGTATCGTTGGGTACAAACCCCAACCATATGGCAAACGAAACTGCAAAGTGACAAGAAGTAACATTTAGTCGCGGTCCATTTTTGCACAGCCTCTATTTGTTAATGTCAAATAACGCCGGCGCTGTACATCAGGGCTGATTTTTATTGAAGAGGCTTCTGCCAGGCAGTTATTTTAAGGCTGTTCGTATTGCATTTGTGTCAGCTTTAATCTGCGCAATAACCATTTGTGCGGCGCTTTAAGAGCCAAAATAACTGTTACACAACACAATCACATTGGCCGTAGTGAATCTAACGCATCCCGTTTGTCTCTCTGTTTCCCTGCCAGTTGTTTGGGGCCTTGCTGCGAGGCTGCTGCGCTGACCTCTCCTACCTGAACCTCTCCAAGAACTCCTTCTCTCACAGGTGGGCGTTCGACTCAAATGTTTAAGTCTTTTTTTTTCCCCTGTGAAACAAAAAGCACACATTTATGACTCAACAGCTCTGGAGGAATTCCAGCAGGAGGAAAACGCACGCATCATGATTTATTCTCCGCTGTAGATTAGTGTTTAGCCTTGGACCTCGCTCATCAAATTATGCTTGTGCGGGATGCTTTCGGTAACGTACACGTGTCTCTGTTTGTTAACAAGTCATCTGTCTGTCGAGCACTTGTATGCATGCCCACAAGCCTCGTTTCTTTTTTTTTGTTTTTTTAAATGTATTAATTTTTTTTTTCTCTTCTTGTGCGTGCTGCATACAGTGTGTATGCGTGCGGCTGAACGTGTGCGTCTTTGTTTACCTTGCTTAGCAGGCAGCAGCGGTTCCGGCTCTCATCATGTCGGGTCCCACAGGGGCCCAGGAGCTTCCCTGCTCAGCATATTACATTACAGAATTACAGAAGTTGCTGAAAAATGAGCCTAATTTTAGACAGGAATTATTGTTCCAATCCCCCGACTCCCACGCCTGCATTTTCTCTCTCTTTCTTTCTTTTTTTTCTTCTTCGTTTTCGGTTTCTTTGTAGCTGCCGTATGTCTCTATCCATCTTTTACTCTTTTGCATCTGTCTGGCAGCACCTCTCCTCCCCCTCCTTCGCCTCCTTTTCACCGGTGACATCCTCGCTCCATCCATCTTCTCTGTCTCGGTTTTATCTTCCCCCTTTTTCTGTGGCTCTTCTCTCCTCCTTTCATCCCCCTCTCCTTTCCTTCCTCCTCATTCTCTCCCATTCCCCTTCTCCCCCCTTATCACTCCTCCTTCCTCGCCACATCATCCTCCACCTTTCATCATCTTTACCACCACTCTCCCCCCGCTCACAGTTCATCCCACCTCCTGCCGGTCCCCTGGTATTAAATGCATGCTGGCTCAGTGCTGCTGGTCAGACGGCCGTGGTGTTGTGGTGACAACACGGAGAGCCACAAAGCTGAACCAAGCTGATAAGAACCGCCCGGTTGCTGCTGCTGCTGCTGCTGCTGTTGCTGCTGCTGCTCATGAATATGGAACGGACTGCCTTCGACCCCTCCTTCACCCACCTCACGCACACATACACAGAGATGTGGGCACTTTCCAGAAACAATGAGCGGTCCATGTAGATGCTGCTACGTGTGGTTACAAGTTGCTGATGCAGCTCTCCGGAGACTGTTTTGCGAGAGAGACGGTGACACCGCATCTGCTTATGCGACAGAAGCCATTCCGTGTCTGCGGAGCCCTGACAGGCTATATGGTAATCATTACAAATGGTTCAAAGAAGAGCTGCTGTTCCACACACTGGGAGGTTATCACAGCAGCATTGACGGCGGCTTGTAATGCAGCGGCCTGGTTTTGCCTCACTGCTATCTTAATGTAGTTTTCTTCCTTCCTTTGACCTTTTTTTTTTTACGATGCTTTCCCATTTTTCCCCCTCATAACTTCTCCAACTCTTCCCCCCTCGTCTTTATCTCACATTTTCTCTCATTCATTTCATTTTGCACCGTGTGGTTTTATCACGCAGCCCAAGTTAACGTAGTTTTATCCGTTTGGGGTAAATATTGGCGCGTTTGTAAAGACGTGTTGTTCCTCACTGAGAGCGACAGAAACTGTAGTTCAGCGAACACAAACATGCTTTGTGCTGGCATCTGTGTGTGTGCACACGAGCATATGCGGGGTTGGAAATCGACACTCGTCAAGAATTCATTGTGCTGGGTAATCTCAGCAAGTTACAGGCCAACTTGGCGAGTGTTAAATCGTATTCCGACTTGTCCGACTATTCCGTCTTAAAAAGTGCAGTCGTGACAAAGCACCGGGTCATGTGCACAAGGACAATAAGGGGCTCGTGCCCACAGTGCAATATGCACAAAGGAATTTGGTGAAGTGGAGCAGAAATTGGAAGGGTGTAGTGATTAGTCATTATGTTCCCAGCCAGTCACATTACTGCTCTCATGTCTATGAAACAGCTGTGGCAAACACATGGGCGCGCGATAAAATTGGCTCCGCAATCGGAGAGAGGAGGGGGCAGAGCAGCTTTCCCTTTCATGATGTCTCCGAGGTTGAGGCAGATATGTTGCTAAAAGCCAAGAGATGTCTGATGTAAAGGATAATTCCAGTTTTGCTTCACCCACCGTGTTTTTCTTAATTGTTCCGCAGCGGTTGTTCAGCAGACTAGAGGAAACTTATGCGAAACACCGCGTTTTTGTGTTCACGCAGCCACCCACGACTTCCGAAGCAAACGCGGCCTTTGCATGAAACGCTTCAAACCCTCGTAGCTGCCTACGTCGGCCGTAATTGCCTACTGAAGACTCGGTTGAAGATGAAACATGCCGAGCAGATCAAGAATCTGTGGAAGTCGAAATGTAAGCATGAAAGGGAGTTGGCTGACTTTGAAGGACTTAAAGGTGCTCAGCTTTCAGGGAAACTGTGACACGGCTGAAGTGAATGGAAAGCGTTTCAGGAGACACTTAAAAACAAGATGAAACATGGCTTGAATAGAGGAAGCATTTTGAAGCCTGTTTTGAAATCTTTTTTTGTGAGGCAAACGAACTGTAAACATTCTCTAACGGCTATGAAGTATTTGATTTCATAATAAGTGCTTTGTTTTTGTGTGAAACTGGCAGCGGTTCTGCGAATCGGCACTTAAAATAAAGTTTGCGTATTCATAGAAATAACTGTTCATCTGGTGCCATCATCGGGTCAAAATTTCAATTTGTCCAAAACGCTGATTCATGTCCATTTACCTGCAAAACTAATTAAATTCCCATCAGTCTCGGCTGTACTTTGTGTTGGGTGCTAATTAGGGAAAGTTTGCGCGCTAGCCTAGAGACGCTGGTTATTCTCTGCTCGATATGTGGTTTTATTCTGAGAGAAAAATAACTCCTGAAGCCTCATCTGCTTGTCTAGATTGTGTAGAAAAGGAAAAGGAAAGAATATTTACAGGTAGTTGAGGTGTCAGCTGCAGGTCGTGTCGTTAATGGCTGCTTTGCATTTATGGAAATTCTTTGAATCTGCATTTATCATATGAAAATGATGAACAGGAGATGGTAACGTCCTTATCTGAAAATATAAGATAAATACATCAGGGTTCTCTCTGCCTTTGCTGTTAAGAGTGACATAGGCATTATCAGTTTTTCCATTTCCACTAGGCTTGTTTATTTCCTGAGAATTGCAAACGTTATATCTGTTGAACCACCAAGTCAAGCCTCATATGTGTGTTTTTGTATCTGTGTGTATTTAAAGTGCCACAACACTGGAGAAAAGAGAAAAAAAAACTCATTCTTTATCAATGTGAGGGTGAGAAACACAGAGCTGTAGGGAAAAAAAAAAAAAAAAAAAGGCTTTTGTGCTGCAAAAGTAAACAACATATCAGCTGCCTGAAGAGAAGTAGCAGGTAATCCTTTCCCAAAAACAAACCTCATCTCTCTGCAAGATGAATTCATCCTTCCCCTCGCTCTCTCCTCTTCCTCCTCATCCTCCTCCTTCATGCTGCACATCACTTTATCCTACTTTCTCCCAGACTCCCTTCCTCATTCCTGGTGAATTATTTGTATAGTTGGGGGCCGACATAGCAGATTGGCTCCTTCTGACAAGTGCTAAACACAGATCTGAACCCGTGTACTACATCCGTCCTGTGAACGCTGTCTGTTCCGTGACTCAGAGGAATGTTGTACATACATGCAGACTCCGTCCTTCCTCTGATGACGGGCTAATGCGGCGTATATGCCAAACAGATGGCTGGATAATTGGTCAGTGTTACCTTTTTAACTGGTGGCATTAATTAATGCCAACTTCACCTTTTCACGGTGTCTGGTTGATATAATACTGACCCAAATGTCACAGCCGGCATCTGTCTGCTTTGCTCTGCCTCCCTCCTGCTCTTCTCTTTCCGTCTCTCTCTCTCCGTCCCTGTCAGTTCTTTGCTTGTCTGCTGCAAAACTTTCTGTCACTCTTTATCAGCACATCATGTCCCTCTGTCATCCTCTCTCTTGTCTCGATCAGTCTCTTATCTGCTCCTGTCGTTCTCTCGCCACCTTTCGCTTTCTTGTCCGACTGCCTGATCGCGATCCATCTTTAATGCTCGCCCTGTGTTCTCCCCTCCTCCTCCTCCTCCTCTTCTGCTATTTTCAAATCGCTTCTGCGCTGTCCTTTTCCAGGAAAGCGAGAGATTCTCTGCCAACCTTCCGCCAGTTCTTCAGCTCAGCATTCAGCCTGACCCATGTCAGCCTGGCCTCTATGAAGGTCCCGCCGGATTCGCTGAGGTGAGTCACTGTCGCAGGCGAGGATTTAAAGGGACCTTTGAAACCCTAAAGATCTGCCAGCATGTCTGAGATGCAAATCACTTGTCGTTTGAACTGCGAAAAGGCTGAAAAAATGGGCAGCCATATGTCCCCAACACTACAAAGTTCTGCATGTGTTATTATTTATGAAGGCTGATGCACAAAAAAGTAAAATTCAGTCGATCAGAATAAATACTTCTATGATCCATATCAGCTTGCATGCATGCACCTCCACTTCTCACGAAATGCATCCAGATATAAATACATCTAAAACAAATAAACAAATCAATCCGACTGAAACGCATCAAAACAACCTTTCAGAAATTCTCTATGAAGATATTCGCAGGTGTTTTTTTTTTGTTTTTTTGTCTTTTAAAGGGCAGATTTGACAGAGGAAGTGACCTGAGAAAATAGGGAGAGGTGTGTGTTTTCTCAAGTGACGGATAAGTCAATTTCAGCGACAGGCCCGATCGTAATGAAGGTAATAGAGCAGCGTCTGAAGCCAGGTGGCATGTTAAGGGGTTCAAAGAATGCATCGAGTTTAAAGTGTATAGCGGCGCAGAATAAATAAGGTAGAGCCGGCAATAAATTAGGGTTTTACAGTCGACAGTGAGGGCTGTACTGTACAGAATCTGTGCTGTCATTCTGGTTTTATGACACAATGATTCGACATTACAGGCGTTTTATTGTCGTCTGCCTTTATGTTGCGTTAAACGATTTCCACACAGTGAGATTTACTGATTATGTACGCAAAATTATAGAAAACAAATCGAGGTATGAGGATGATTGTTTGGCAAATACACTAAACTGACGCCAAAAAGGTGGACCGGTACATCACTACTAAATTACACCCAAATCTCCCGTTCCGATTGTGCCTACATGCCGACGCGCCAGGTGTTCCTGATGTGACTATAATACGAATATTCTGCTGACTGTGTTCGGCGTTGACTAGTGTGTCACTGCTTGTGACAGCCAACTGGCAACCGAATCTCTTCCGATTCATTTGGAAAATCTCCCGACAGGATGCATACACTTAATTGGCAAAATAAACTGCGATAAAAGCCAAGACGCCAAGATGATCTGCTAATGTACACATCAAACAGCGCCGATGATGTTATAGTGATATTATGGGAGGAAAACACCGCCACACAGCTGCGACAAAACGCACATTGCTGTTTGGTATTTTGGTTTAAATGTACGATAAAGTTGCATGAAGTCATTACATGTAAATACACAATATGATAATACATAATTTCATGCCAAAGACCCAGCCAATTTACAATAAAATACAAAACAATCTAATAAAGTGACGACACTTTGATCACAGCAGGTGATACTAGAAGAAAGCTGGAACAAAAAGATGTACCTTTAAGTGCCGTTTAAAGGTTTTAGCAGCGCGTGTTTCTCTGAAATCTTCGGGTAGCCTGTTTTCCCGCAGCTTAGGAGCAAAGCCGTAAAAAGCTGCATCTCCAAATTTCAATTCGGTGTGGTTTTGGGTAGCCAGGAAGCCAGCAGTGGAGGATCTGAGGGCTCATGGCGGGACATAAGGCAGCAGGGAATTTTTGAATTCGATAAAAGGATGTAAAATATCACTACAAAGTCACCTAATCCTACTAGATGCTATCAAAGTCCTGTCGGAATATTACAATAGGCTCGGAATTATAAAATGAAGCGAATGTATTGCTTTAAAAAAAAAAAAAAAGTCCTAAATGATTGTCGCACAATGTCGCCCAGTAATTCTTTAGCGAATTTCATGCACAGGAGGACTAATGAAATCCGTCAAATAATCCTATTAAGAGATGAAATGCTATAAATGAGTCAATATGGAGGTGTAGGAGACGTGGCTCCTTCTGTTTTAACAGCGGAGCCAGCGTTTGCCTCCTCAGATTACACCCCAGCAGCTGTGCGATCGTGTCAACACGACGTGTTTTTATGGAGAGCGATGTCGAACCGACGCTCCGCTGATGAGAGTTTATATCGCGTTCACACCTGGTGCAGATTCCTGATAAAAGTAGCTCATATGACAACTCATGCATGTTATTATTTTTAACTCCCGACCCTTTCTGAGTGGATCACCGGCACTTTTTTTGACTGATGCCGCCCCTCTGTGTCAACAAGCATTTGTGTTGCCGGAAAAAATTTTCTCGTCAAACTCGAAGCCTCGGAGTGGCGAGGGATGAATTCCCACCGGGTCCACTCATGCTAAAAATGCACCCACTCTTGATGCAATAAGGTGCTTTACTTTAAAGCACTGGGTAAATTGAGCACATGAAGGATGGCTGCTGAAGGCCTTTAAATGTTATATCCAAGAGGAGACTACTAAAATGTAAGAATCCCCATGCATTATTGCAGAGCTCTCTGGCCAGCGCTCGAACCCTAAAGCAGAGCTGAATGCACAGTGGCCTTGAGAGGAGAGACGAATCATCTGTCCTCATTTCCAGCAGAAGCACTCGCCATAAAAAGGATGTTATTTTTCCTGAATTTATTGTCTTTTTTAGCTTAAATACTAAAATAGCTCGCACCATATGGAGTGCAATTTGCATCCAAAGCATCAGTGAGATCCGATCGTCAGGGCGCGCGTTAGGTTTCAAACGCTTTTCCTCGACAGCGGAGCCAGTCTACTGTTATGTTCGTAGACTGGCCTTCAATCACAGCACACAGACCGAAGCCCCCGTCGTTGGCCGGCTGCCACTGTGCTGACGTGTCTTTGTGCAGGACTCTGCATCCTCACCAGCTTCAGGAGATCTGTGGCTAAACCAGCTCATAGAGCGGCCAAGCAAAAAAAAAAAGAAGTGAGTTTCCCTACGGGGATAAATGGGGGTACTGCAATATTACAGTTTCTCTGTTAGGTGTACAGCCTGCTGTTCGCTTCTCATAGCCAAAAAACACAATCAATAACAAAGCAAACAAAGCAAACTGCCAGCAGTCGAGATGATTGTGTGCTGCATGATGGATCTCAGCCAAAACGGATGGAGCGCGCTCCCCACTTAGCACTTCTCCTCATTACCTCCTCAAGTTGCATAACTCTAAAATGTGTATTCATTGCACAAGAACAACCTCCAGCAGAGCCTTGATGTGCAAATGCAGTGTCTTTTCTGCATCCAGCTGGGCTTGTGAGCGTGTGTGTGAGTGTGAGTGTGTGTGTGTGTGTGTGTGTGTGTGCGTGCACAATTGGCCACTTCTCTTGAGTGAATATTGAAGGTTTTTGAGGTGGTTTCTGTTGGGGACTTAGAGAGCTATGAATCTTCTTTTTTAAGCTACTTTTCTCTAAATCCTTTAAAACTTTTAGGTGTGCGCAGGAGAACATGGGGCAGGATGGGACGGTTGATCCGTCGAGGTTGTTAGAGGGAGAGAAAGGAGCAATTGGATTTATGTGGGACTGATCTGTCTTTAATTTTTCACTGTCATTTCTCGCTTGTCTTTGTCTCCTAATTGACCTCTGTTTCTCCTCGTTCCTTCTTATCTACCTATCATTCTTCTCGCTCCTCTTTTTATATCGGCTTTCCCATTAATCTCTTCTTCTTTATTTCTTCTCCTCTCTCTCTCTCTCTCTCTCTCTCTCGCTCTCTCTTCCCCGTCCTTTCCCTTGTGTTTTCCTTCAGGGCTCTGTTCCTGGGTTTGTCCAATAACCCTCATATCACTGATTTACACCTGGACATCAGCAGCTGTGAGGTACGCTCTGTCAGTCTGTGCTCCGGCTATATTCGCTCATCATCTTCATGGATTAACGCTCGTGGCCATCCCATCATGTTCCGCTCCTCTCTATCTTCCTCCCACAGTTGAGGTCAGCAGGTGCCGGCGTGATTCAGGAACTGTTTCCTCGAGTTTCATGCGTGGGGACTTTAGACATCTCTGATAATGGTAAGAGACACGCTTGAGCGCACGAACCGCAGGGGTTGCACTCAGATGAACTGTTGCACTGTATGTGTGTTGGGTTGTTGTTAAAGCTTTTGATTACAGCCGTGACGGCCTGGACCCCAACAAATAAAGCCGTTTAATTGGAAGGTTTACTTTTGAACTGAGCTTGTGAATCACTGTCACTGTTTAATTACACCTTATATACTACATTTATTTACACTGAATGGCCACTGCACATGTTTTATACACTTACATGGAGTGTTACTCATCCTGTTAAAGCAGTAAAGTGTTTTGCTTGTTAAAACCAAAAACCTGGTGTCATATCATAGTTATGTTAGCATGGACAAAAATTGTGTTTTGTTCTGGAGATTTGATATTTAATAGAGTTGAGCATTTTGTAGGCTGTAGAGGTAATAAAAGAGTTTCATTATGACACTTGTAAGATCTTGACTCATGCTGGTGAATAAAAGTTTAAATAATCTTTAACTCTGCTGCACAGATTTAGATTTTCATTCTTTTTATTCAATTCATGTTCTTTGAGTAGCCACCTTTACTGGTGTTTACATACTAACCTGTAAGAGCATCGCTTTAAATGGTGGCCTTGTTGTGCAGTCCTTTTATTAGCAAACCATTTAGTCTTTGTACAAGCTCAGTAGAATAGGGTTGAAACAAGAATTATGATGGAAGAACTAGTTCTGTTGTGACAGCATAGGTGGATGTTAGTTCAATCAACAAATACCAAAGAGGAGGTTGGGGCGGATGGAGAGGTCTGTGCTGTTTTGATTTGTTTGTAGCAGCAGAGTAATAGCATTTGGGATAAACTGACTGTCTTGGACATAAATGTGACTCAGATGTACGACTCAGTTAAAGCAGCGGTTCCCAACCACCAGGCCGTGGATCGGTACTAGGCTATGGATCATTTGGTAACGGGCTGCACAGAAAGGGAAAAAAAAAACATTTTTTTGTTTTATTTTTGTTTCCAGCGGAGTCTACAGGGTGTTTTATTCTGAAACGTAACTAGCTCGTCTTCCCATCGCATCTGTCTGTGCTTGTTTCTCACACTTGACTCTTATTAGTTTCCATGCTCGGCCATTAAACGAAGCCGTCAGTCTAACCGCCGCTGAAATAAATAAAAAAACAAACTTCTCAGGAGAGCTTCTTTGGAACGTGGTAGAGACTCGATACTGAAACGGAAGAAAAAGTAACCACATATTTAGCAAGTCATTTTCTTAATTTCTGAAACTTTTTAATAGAAAAAACAATTATTTTTTGTTACGTGCGCGATGAACACCGGTCCATAGAAAATGTTCTTGCTTAAAACCGGTCCATGGTACAAAAAAGTTTGGGGACCACTGAGTTAAAGTACTGATGAATGAGATTGTGAAACATGAACGAAGCAGCTTATGCCAGTTGACTAATGCAGCAGACTTCAGCAAATGAATAAGCACACAGCACCAGAAACATTCTTTTGTTTGGCAACAAGTGAATTTATATACTATACATTTATAAACTCACTTGTTGCCAAATAAAAGATATATATTCACCGCTGTATTGCCAACTGGGGAAGGCGTGCAACCACCCAGACCTGCTGCACCGAATCATCAGGGGCCCCAATAGTTTGTTTGATAATTGGTTTTGCTAATTTGAGTTTGCACCAATTTGTTTGGGAATTTGAGCCACGAAAGGTCAATACCAATTAAGACACGTCCTTCATTATTAGCTTATCTTGGCCTCGCCTTGTAGAGGGGACCTGTGTCAAAACCGAGATTAAAGAGCTTTTTTTTTTTTTGTATTTCCGCTCATGTTGCAGACATTGTGGCGTCCACTAAATCTGGTCTAATTAAATACTACAAGCCATTTTATGCAAAGATAAACTGGATTTCCGTTGTGTCTCTGGGCGTAAAAGGCAGCTTCTAGATAGTATCTCTGTATGGGCTGTACTTATTGTGAATATGCAGGCATTAGAGCGCACGCACAAGTTGTATAGTCTGAGTCCAACGCCCAGTTTTTATCCTATCTTCTGCTGTTTATGACCATATAATCTTGCTGTAGAAAGCTTAAGAATTGATGTTATGTTCTCATTTTACAGCAACATAAAATGTATTTTTGATTAGATTTTCATACAATTCTATAGAGACGCTCTTGAACCTTGAAGCTACAACTTGCTGAGATTAATCCTGTACTAAACCACTGAAGTTAGTGCTTTGATACTGCAATGGGTAAAACTAAATTCATATCTAGCACCACTGATACCATGCATCCTGCCAACCAATTCCCCCAGTTTAAATGAGTATTCATCCAACTGGACCAGGAGTGTTGGTGGAAACAACGATGTGCCTCCTCCTCCTCCGACACAGGCCACTCACCGTCCCCCTCTTCCTGTGCTTTGGTGTCACGGGAAGCTGCGACAAAATAAACTCACTCCACATTAGAAGCATGTGAGCTTATTTAACCACAGATATTTTCGCTCTCTGAATGAGGCATTCTAGTCTTTGTTGCTGACATATCTCGCCATGGTAACCACTTCCTCTTAGCAGCATCCTCCATCCTTGAGCTTTTGAAAAGACGAGTGGGTGTGAGTGGGGGGGTTAATTGGGAGTATTTTGGAATTTCAGTGGGCAGTGTGATTCTGTTCCAAAATGGACCATGAGAGGAGAAAAAAAAAAAAAAAACCTCAGCTTTGAAGGCCAGAAATGTTGGCACCTGGCAGAGTAAATGATGAGTCACTGGTGTAACAGCCCAGAAATTGATGATTTTATGTTTAAAAAAAAAAGCAACTTTTTCATTTGAATACATCAGTTAACATCCTTCTTGTGTTAGAGACTAACACTCTTAAAGTTTCATGCCTGTTCACTTATTTGATCAGTGCTTACTTTGCTTTAATTAAAGACCTGCTTGGAAGCGGTAATTCACAAAAGCTCCGGAGAGCAAAGCGCTGCTGGTGTTGTACTCTATTGATGTGTGTGTTGTGTTGTGTTGCGTGCAGGTTTGGATGCTGACTTGCTGGCTGTCATCCCAGCGTTCTCCCGACACCCCTCCCTCAAACACCTAATGCTGGGGAAGAACTTCAACATCAAGGGCAGGTAGGGACCACGCAGGGGAACCAGCAGTACAGATGGTTGTGAGGATGATGCATATGATGAATGCTTCCCCTCTTGTTTTCTGCCTCCTCAGGGTGCTGGATGAAATTCTGCAGAAACTGGTTCATTTGGTGCAAGAAGAAGAGTGTGTGAGTTTGATTATGTAACATATTGTACACACACACACACACAAAATCTCTGTGGTGTTATGCACAGATGCACGCCTACGCATGCCTCACAGATCCGCGGCCACGCACAAACACACACTTGTCGCCGTTTTTAAAACCCTCCTGTCCTCATTCATGCGCTTTTACAGTAAGCTCAATCTCCCACCTGCCACACACACACACATACAAGGTGCAGACATGCGCACGAGTGACGCCCGACCAGTGATTCATTCGGCTCAGTTTATACGCGAGACTTCCCGAGGCTCTCTGCGCTCTCTGCTCTGCAAATCCAGCATGACAAGTAGCCTACTCAATTATTTACCACTGTTGATGGTGATAGCTCACAACGATGCTCTCGCGCCGGGTATGAGCGAGCCGACGCTGGCGTAGACGGGTGTAAACGCGCACGTTTAAAAAGAATTACTCCCAGTTTGTCAGAGGTCGCCCGGCTAGTCGGCTCGCACGCTAAGTGATGACAGCACGAATATCAGAATCCCTGTCCCCTGCAGATATTTGGCCTTGGTGATAGCCCCACATTAACACTTGAGTGTGTGAGTCATCGAGGACTTTTGGCGTCAAATGCAAGAACATGAGAACTCCCAGCAGCGTGAATGATATCATGCACAGGAAGAATACATAAAAAATATCTGTAACTAGTAGGAAACTTTTAGAAATATGCCACAACATTAAAACCATCTGCCTAATATTGTCAAGGCCCAGACACCTGTGGTATCCGGCACCCAGAAACCAGCAAATCCTGGAGGTTCTATGGAATTTGGAGGCTAACGCAACACCTTGAACTCTTTGCTGTTTTTCTCAAACCATTCCTGAGCAATGTTTGCAGCGTGGCTAAAAGAGGTCATTGCCATCAGGGAATGCCGCTGCACTGAAGGGCTGTACGCGGTCTACAGTCGTGTTCATGTAGGTGTCAGAGTAACATCCACATGAATGCCTGGACCCAAGATTTACCAGCAGAACATTACCCAGAGCATCACACTGCCTCTGCCTGCATCCTGTCTTTCAATACTGCATCCTGCTGCCTTTTCTTCCCCAAGTAAACAACGCTCATGCACCCTGCAGTCCACCTGATGTAAAAGGAAACGTGATTCAACAGACCAGAGCCTTTTTCCATTACTCCATGATTCAGTTCAGGCATTCACATGTCCTTTGTAGGTGCTTTTACCAGTAGCAATCAGCATGGACTCTCTGACCAGTCTGCAACTACAAAACCCAACTACAGTGAACACACGGTGTTCTGGTACCTTTCTATTATAGGCAGCGATGGGGTTTTCAGCTACATGTGCTACATTTGTGTATGAGATTCAATCACACTGGCCAATCTTGGTTTCCCAAATGCATCAGTAAACCATCGTTGCTACTAATCACTGCGTACCAGAAACACCCCACAACACCTGTTGGTCTGGAGATGTTCTGACCCAGTCGCCGAAGCCATCGCAATTTGTTCCTTGTCGAAGTCACTTACATCTTTACGCTGCCCATTTTTCCTGCTTCCAGCGTACCAACCTTAAGAACGGACTGTTCACTTCCTGCCTAATATATCCCATCCCCTCACAGGTGCCGTTGTTACAAGATAATCAATGTTATTCACTTCACCTGTCGGTGGTTTTAACGTGGTAGCTGATCGGTATGTCCCTTGAATACAAAGCTGCAGTATGGAGACAGCTTTTTTTTTTGTAGGATAAAGACTGGAAACTCTTGAAACTAGCCTGGCTCCATCTAAAGAACAAGAACATGTGTAGAAGGCCAGATTGACCTCCCACCAAAATATACCCCAATGTATAAAATAAGTTGGGCTGGTAGTAAAGTGTGGCCAATGCCCCATAAGACCTATTGGTTTGGAGATGTCAGACAGCTCCTCTGTTGTCTACATTACACCCCCTTGTGTTTTTATAAGTAAGTCTATGTTTTAATGTTTCTTTCCAACGTGAGTTAAAAAAAATGATATGGTACTGCTGAATAGAGGATCAACATCGAATGGGGTGGCAAATTGGTTAATCACATTCAGGCTATTATGGGCAAAAATATACCTTGAGATATCAGCTAGACTATTTTATACCTTTAAGATGCAGAAGTAAAGCCCTGTGAAAAGTAATCTGAGTATGATGTGGCAGATCATGTTTCAATCCAGTCAGAATCCCGATGTTCGTCAGAACTGTTGAGTTTGACGTCTAAGTCTTACATCATTGATACCAAGAAAACTCAGATATTTTGTTGGCTATGTTGGAAATCCACAAATTTTTTAAAGTTGGTGAACCGTGTTACAATAAAAGCTTTTTGATAAATTCAGGAATAGCTTGTTTGTACAATTCCAATCACACATCTTGGGTCGTTTTCAAGGGCATTTAAGTGATTAAACTTGTGTATCATAGTGCTGGTTGAGGCTATGAAGTCAGGGTGTGAAATCAAACCAGAAGCCTAAGACTGTATCCTTGAATATTCTGTGTGTGAGCGCAGGGAGTATAATCAGGCCTGGAGGATATGAAATAGCCCAAATAACACCCCAGGTTATAGATGGAATCAAGCTAGAGTTTAGTCGGTGGTAAAACACAGGCTAGCCCACATTAGCTCTAGATATCATAGGCAGAGGGTATATTTTGGTCTGTTACACATGTTTCTCCATGTTTTTGGCCTCTAAAGCAAACTGGCTGCTAGTTCTGGGTTTATATTAACAACACAGACAAGAATGTGGCTCAGTGTGTTTCAAAATGCTATTCAAGGACTTAACAGAGTTAATCATATGAGACAGTATACATCTAATCATCTTTTAGTAGATGAATGTAACGGTGCTCATCATAAACGCATTCAGAGATTAAAAAATGTGATTCATAGGGATTCATGAAACTAAAGTGTTAACTCTGAGCAGCAGAACCTGTAATTAAGTTCATTTTGTTGCTGATTTTCACCAAGCGACCAATTTGTTAAATAGAAAGGTGGTTTAAAGCAACGTTAAAACTGAAATAAATCCGCCGTGACTTCAAGAAAAACATAAATGATTCAACCGCAGAGGGTTTTATGTAAGTGTGTTTTGAATTCAGATTTTCATCCAGGTTTCTCCATTATTGATTTTCTCTCACATAAATGTTTTAACGTAATTTGTAATAAATAACACAAGATAAATTCCCCAGATTTCTTTGAAATGTAAAAGCCAGAAGCCTCCTCAGCCTCTAATCTACTTGCCGGACATGGATGATGATTGCTTTTGTCACTTAATTACAGGTTTTGTTTTCCAAAGCTTTAATGCAGGAGCTGCTACTCTCACATATTTCACCCCTCTAAAGGTTTTCATTTTCAGATCTTCTTCTCCTTGCACCCTCCAGGCCCTCCAGTCGCTCTCCCTCGCCGACTCCCGGCTCCGTCAGCGAGGCACGGTGCTGGTCAACGCCCTGGGCTCCAATGCTTGCCTGAGGAAGGTGGACCTGAGCGGCAACCTCCTGGAAGACTCCGGGGCCAAGATGCTCAGCAAAGCCCTGCAGATCAACACAACACTCAGGTGTGTGCACTTTTTTTTTTTACATTTTTTATTTTATTTTTTTTTACGTCAGGGCTCTGATGGGAGCAAAAGAGGGAGGAACGCAAGGATTTCCTTTCAGATCAGAGCGCTGAGATACACACCAGAGGAGATGAGCTGTAAGTCAGGGAAAGAAGACGTTTTAGAGGACAGATGAAAGAATAGGGTCAGAGAGAAAATTAATATGTTAGGTATGGTTTGAGGACGGGATACACCGAGGTTGCTGAGAGGCAGAACAGAGAGTTCAAGGCAGTGCTTCAAAGATACGGAGGGGGTGGAGGGAGGGGGGGAAGAAAGTGAGTCATGTAGGAGATAAGGAGGTAAGACTTAGTATTGAGCAGTCTGAGGGATAGCGAGGAGAATCAGCGCAAGGCGGGAAAGGGCCTCCAGGCACACTGTGTATGGCAACACCCTTAAGCAAGGGGAAAGAAGACGCTGAGTCAAAGTGTGTAGGTGTGTTCAGGGTGAAGGTGTGGAAGGAGTCGATGGGATCTGGAGAGGAGGGCCAGGACGGGAGAGGTAGGATGGAGAGCAGGTTGGACTAGAAAGGGAGAAAGTTACGAAGGGAAGAGGGAGACCACCTATGGAGCGAGATTTAGGTTTTGCTGATTGAATTTCTAGGGCAAAGCAAGTCGGAGGGGGGAGGGAGCTGGAGGAGGATGGATGAAAGGAGCGATGGGTTGAAAATGACTGATATATTAAAAACAGGAGTTAGGCAGTGTTGAGTGTAGGTGGAGAATCTGCACTGTGAAATAACAGAAGCTCATTAGTTGCATAGCGGTTCCTCATGCATTCCAAATGCTGCACCACACACTCTATGCACAAAGCAAAAATAAAAAAAAGTCCTGACAAATGTCTTGATTCTGCTTGTGCAGCTGCGTGGTCAGTAAAGTGGTGTAGCTGTGATGCTACGCCCTGCATGTGTGTGTGTGTCAGAGCGATTATATGTGTGTTGGGAGCTTTCGAAAGATCCTCTTCTCCTCTGTGCCTGTCTTACCCCATTTCCTGCCGGTTTGATCCCCCCTCAGGAGCGTGACGTGGGACCGCAACAACACCACAGCGACGGGCTTCCAAGACGTGGCGAGAGCGCTGGAGCAGTAAGACGAACACAGCACCACACCAACATCTGTTTGAAGAGGGGATGCACACATAGAGCGGATCACTCACACACACCCCATATGAAAGGCAGATCCCCATCTCTGTACAATGTTTACTATTACACAGTGTTTCATCAGTCTGCTGACGTGTGTGCCAGTCAAACACGAGTGGGTGTGAAGTTTTGTACTCATGTGTCTGTGTCTGTGTCTACAAGGGGTGTGTGGGTGCATTTGCGTAATAAGAAATTGGAGACAACTGTTATAAGAGCCCAGGGCATTTCCTGTTTGTTCTTGTTAACATCATAATTCCTTCGGTTTGTGTTGCGCGGGTAATATTGTTTTTTATTTCCTCGCTCTTTATCTTTCTTCTCTCTCCAACAAACAGCAACTTCACCCTGCAGTACATGCCCCTCCCACTCAGTGACGTCGCCCAGGCGTACCGCGGCGCTCCGGAGAAGACCGACCAAGCCCTGACCAAGGTGAGGAGCGCTTCCTTTCTTTAGATCAGGAATTCTAAATTGGCTGCATCGTGTTGTAAAGGTGCATTGGTGAATAAGGGCTTTGCTTGATTGTGCATTAGAATAAGTTTCTCAGATTATTATGTTACTGTTGTGGAAATTCTACTTGTGACTAAGTTTTTTTTTTAATATTGTATTTTGGTTACAATATTTAATAGATGATTTTTGGGGTTGATATCATTATTTTTGGTAATGAATAAAATTCAAATATTCAATTCAATTTCAATTCAATTCTTTGTTTTGAAAATACTTTTTAAAAAAAAGAGAGAAATAAAATTTAAAAAATATAGATTTTTTTTAAAAATAACAATAAGACTTTATATGAGTGACAGACAACATACATACATATATACATACATGCTCATATCTATACATACACATATATGCATATATACATGTACCTACACACTCACATACATTCTGTTGCCACTCCATGAATAGTTAAATCTGAAGGAAAGAAAAGTACTCTCCAGCATCATTTGAATAAATATAATAATATAATAATATATTGCTATATATCAACCAATGTCCTTTATATACATACATTATGTTAGAGATGTATTATATGTAAGGGAAAATGTTTACCGCAACAAAGTAGATACTGAGTGACTCTGCATCATTGCTTGCTCTGCTACATGTGCTGCGGACAGTACTGCAAACAACAGAGTCAGAGCTGCACTGCTAGACACTATTTTTAAATTACGCCAAGCATCCTTTTCTGCATAATTCATTATTTTGTCCAAAAAAAAAGAAACGTTTTTATATCTGTGCATATCAAAAAACATATGTGCTGGTACTTATGTGGGGCTGCAAGGTGGCTCGGTGGTTAGCACCATTGCCTCGCAGCTAGAAGGTCGCCAGTTCGTGTCCTGGTGAGGACACCCGGGATCTTTCTGTGTGGAGTTTGCATGTTCTCCCCGTGCAGCGTGGGTTCTCTCCGGGTTCTCTGGCTTCCTCCCACAGTCCAAAATCATGTTGAGGTTAATTGGTGATTCTAAATTGTCCGTAGGTGTGAATGTGAGTGTGCTTGGTTGTCTGTCTCTAAGTGTAGCCCTGTGATAGACTGGTGACCTGTCCAGGTGTCCCCTGCCTTCACCCTGAGTCAGCTGGTATAGACTCCAGCCCCCCACAACCCTAGTGAGGTGTATAGATAATGGATGGATGGATCCTTTTCTGCATTCTTCAATATTTTGTCCAAAAAAGTATAACGAAATGTTTTCATATCTTTGCAGATCAAAAACATATGTGCTGGTACTTGTCTGTGACTGACCAGTGTGGCTACATGTGATTGGGCTCTCACATCGAACTATTGCATTTCATAAACGTGTACAAATGCTGCAAATGGAACAATTATAACTGCTATAGTGGCTCAGTTTATGTCATGGCATTCATTCCAGTGTGTTTCAAATTAAAAGAGGAGAAAAAAAGCTACTTTAAATTAACAACTGCTGCTGTTATAGTAAATTGACATAAAATAGAAGCTGTTAAACTAATGCTAATCTGCAGCTCTACGTACACTGACAGACTTTGTGTAGGTTCACCATCTGCTGCATCTGTAAAAGGCTTGAAACACGAATGTTGCAGGTTTTTGGTTAAAAGAAACTCAGCTTTATGTGGGAAACATGGATTAATGATGGATCATTTGTACAACAAGTAGGCATTTGTACCAAAACCTGGTACCAGTGAGGATTTAATAAAGACTTAATGGGGGATCAATAAGCTCCAACATTATTGGTTCTGCTGCTGGTACGGGAGAAATGAAGACGGTAGAGTTTGTGTTTATCGATGCTGTTTATCTTGCACATTTTATCCCACTAGACACACACACAGACACCCTGCTCTTAGTGACAATGGCGCAGAGAAGTAAACATTCGAAAGTGTGGTTACGCTTCACCAGAGCCGCTGCTGGCGACGCTCGCTGCCACAAGTGTAACAAGTCTTTTGGCTGTGAAAGCAGAAAACACTGTTAGTCTGTCCAGACGTCCAGTGGAAGTTCATGTCTCAAAGATGGGTATCGAAAAAAAAAAAAATTGTGCTGAACAAAAACACATTTTGGCTTGAAATTGTGACACCTGGAGTTCATGTAAAATTGATTTGGTTGCTTTAGAAGAGTGTTTCTCAGCCCTGAAAACAGCACGCGGCTACCTCGCCTGTACTCAAAAATCCTTGAAAAAGCAACAAGAATTAAAAAGGGAGAAATTTCGACCCACTCCTATGAACTTCACGGGCGCGTAACTCTGAAAATATCCATAGTATGAATGTAAAACTTTCCATAGCTTCATACTAAAGTTAGTGGACATTAAAAAAAGAAAGGAAAAAAAAAAACAGGTGATGTGAACTTTAGTGGTTGATTTTATATGGAATGACCTGGAGCTCACCTGTAAATTACAACTAGTCAGCAACATCATACTTACTTTCTTTCTTTTCTATATCTTTTGGATGCTGCTGTGGCATGTAAATTTCCCCTAATGGGGGGATCAATAGAGAATATTCTATTCTATTCTATTCTATTCTATTCTGTTCTGTTCTATTCTATTCTGTTCTGTTCTGTTCTGTTCTGTTCTGTTCTGTTCTGTTCTGTTCTGTTCTGTTCTGTTCTGTTCTATTCTATTCTATCAGTGATTCAATTTTGACATGTATTGATTCTAAGTTGACATATCCACAAACCAATACTTGCTCATTGCACTTCTAATTACATTCTGTGTAATTATTATTAGACAGAATGTTAGTTATTGATTTCTGGTGGCAACATTCATTGTAAATATCTACAATTATTCTCATATTACAGATATAAATGGAGTTCTAAATACCAAGAAAAAGCAATTCTGAGTAGTTAAAATTCAATTATTGCCATGTTCTTTAAACTAGTAATAAAGTAATTTCCTGCAGTTGCCCTTCAGATATCTTAAATGCAGTTGTGACTACTTAGAATTATCTTTGTACTTGTAACAACTATTTTTAACATTTGTACAGTTCCTTTTATAAGCAGTTGAAGTGTTGATAGTGAAAAAGCACATTTCTACTACTCTCATAGTTTAATCGTAGCAACTGGACTTGCTTGAGTTCCTTGAAGACGTTCCACCTCTCATCCAAGAGGCTTCATCAGTTCTGACTGACTAGTTGGGAGTTCCACATACTCATATCCTAAAGGAGCCATTAACACCTGAGTTTCAATTGTTGCTCCTCCCCCTCGTTATGTGAGTCGTTAGTGCTCCTCCTGCCACAATGGGGTTCGTTAGGGTCTTTTGTGGCTAGGTGTGGATGTGGTTTCATCTTCCTGGGGAGAGTTCTTAGGACTGGATTGTAAACAGGTGAGAGGTGATGCCTCAGACCTCCACCTCTGCTTAGTGATGGTCTTTCCAGTTTGACGTAGATGGCTTCTTTCACGCCTCTCTCCAAACCATCTGTCCTCCCTGGTCGAAATCTGTACTTTATTGTCTATGTTGTCATTATTCTCTTGAAGACAATATCAGTCAGAACTGATGAAGCCTCTTGGATGAAACGTCTTCAAGGAGCTCAAGCAAGTCCAGTTGTTACGATTAAACTACGAGAATAACCACAACCTGGATGAATGTTCACAGACACATTTCTACAAGTTAAAATGCCAAAGCAGACGTTGTCAGTTAATATGTTAAATCAGGTGACATGTTTGAAATGCAATTGCTGATATCTGTGATGGGAAATTAGGTTTCAGCAGGTGGAAATTCATCTGTAGATGTCTGTACTTGTGTCTTACAAGTGAAAAAGGGTATTTCTGGTATCTATAATTAAATTAGAGATATGTTAGTCAGTTCTGACAAGTCGAACTATAATCCCAACATGTACAAATACATTTTGTGACACATCGGAGTTCATAAATCTTAAACTGCCAACATGCTGTTTCCATTGGTGAGCACTAAATTGCTATGAGTCAGTCGTCCTGATTGAGTGTTAAAAGGGTTCGTTACAGTGACAGCAGCATGCAGCCAGTGTTCCTCTCTGTCAGTTTAGTGTGTCGCTGTTTCCCAGATTGTTCCTCGTGTCACATTAAACTCTCCTGATGATCTCCTTTCTTTTTCGAACCAGTTTATGTGTGATTTAGGTGTCAGCTCTCCACCAACTCTCTCGGTGCTTTCTGATATTTTAAAAAGTCAAAGCGACGGATCTCCTTTGTGGCGAACAAACTTCTTCTCGGTGCTGATGTGCACGGTTGCCTTTACAATTATGATGCTGTTACTTCAAGTGTTAAACATCGCCTGGATTGAATTATGTTTTTTTTTTTCTCTCTCTGCAGAGCGTACACATGATCTGAATATTTTACCGGCATTTGATTTTTGAAGACAAAATCTGCACCCATTCACGTTTTTATTTTTATAAAAAAGACTCCCATTGTCAGTTCAAGCGCTGCTCATCTGTCAATCTGGCGCCAAGACTTTCATTTCGATCGTAGACTCCGTGTCTTGTGTTTGTAATTGAAGATGTCAATCAGAGTTTTTAACTTCACGCCAGATGTGCGGCAACTTTTACTCTTTGTTTGACGTGACAGCGGATGCGAGACGGCGTAACAATGGAGCGAGGGACTTTGCTCGTCTCGTGCCTTAGCTTGATGGAAACACATTTCCATCAGGGGAAGCGCGATCGCCGGCGTTGTTAGGCAACAGAGATGGCTGTAGTTCAATATTATGATCTGTAATTTTAGACTGTTAACTAAATGCCCTTTTGCCGCTTGACTCGTGAGCGCCGGTTAACAGAGCAGTCAGCTCCCGTTACTTGTCAAACTCCAGTTTTCCCCCGACAGCTCGGTTGTCAGTCAGTCACGCACAATGTCTCTCCTCACCACACGACCAAAGGGTTCACCTCTGATGCGTCGCTACAACATATCAGCAGTGTGTGTGTGTGATTTTACAACTTTCCGAGGCACTAGCCCGAGGATGTTCTTATCAAACCCTCTTTTTCTTCCAGGAGTGCACATGCAGTGTGTAAGCCTTTTAATTAGACTGGGTGTGGGGTGGAGGGTTTGTTTACCTGCGCATTGTCTGCGAAGCCCCTCGAATAACACTTGATTCCATCTTTCTTTATATAAGATGATGATGCAGTGAACACTTCCACCTGCTGAGTCAAGAAAATAAATCAAAGGCGTCCCGTTTATTTCTGGGGGATCAAAAATCCTCTCTCCAGTCTTCCTTATTACCATGCAAATGGACTTGTCTCCTGTCTCGCGCACGCTGCACTTTGTAAACACCTGTCATCTCCACTCGCCTTCCTCCTTGTTTGTTTTCTGTGTGTGTGTGTTTGTGTGACAGATCCAGCGTGCCCTGCTTAGGAACAACCAGACTCAGCGTTTCTCTCAGAAACAGGCTCTCCGGCTGCACCAAGGCCTCGTCACCAGCACCGCCGAACAGGTGCGTGCTCGTAATGATGAAGAAGTCAAGTTTTTTTATTTATTTTTGTGATCGTTCTCTGAATGTTTTGTGTTTTGCAACTAATTGTACACGTCTGTTTTTTTTTGGGTTTTTTTGCTGCTGTGAAGGTGATGGAGCGTCTGTGCGTGCGGGTGCAGCAGCAGGTTTGCGTCCTGAAAGGCTGTGAGGAAGGAGAGGAGGTTCAGACCGCCAGACAGATCCTCAAAGAAGCCAGGAACTCCAGAGCTGTGAGTGTGAGACTTGATGATTCAGAGCGTGGTGCCACAGATTGTACAGCACAGACTGGAAATCGCTCAATAGGTTCATTCCATCTCAAATCATCGCACTGTTGGGAACATTTTTGCTCGCCTGTGTCCGATTTGCCGTACATTTTTAAATCACATAATATAGATATTTATGAAGATATGTTGAGATAAAATGTAAAATTAGCCCACTGACCCACTTTTCTCATCTTGCTGTTGATTAAGAATCTGCAGTTAAATAATCTGATTATGAAAAGCAAAGAAAAATAGATTTGGATGGTTTTTATAGAACAACTTGTGGTGATGCACGATATTAAAATTTCTGGCCGATACCGATATCCGATATTAAGATTTCTGATATTGCCGATAACCGATATCACCGATGTCGATATTCAATTTTTGTTCACACCGAAAAATGAGTAAAAGTAAGCACTGTGAGAAAACTCTTCAAAAGAAGCCCAAATTAGACCACATAGTCTTCTTTATCATGTAACAAAAGTAAAACATATTTAAACATATTTATCGTTCTAGTCCATTTAAGTAAAAACATCTGTGAAATAGCAGCGATATCAAACATAAAGATGAAGGCGCGGATGTTAGACAATCATCGGTTTTTCCCATCGGCTAAATTTGTTCTTCCGATACGATGTATATCGGAAAAAACACTAATATCAGCCGATAGCGATGTGGTCGCCAATATATCGTTCGTCCCTATCAACTTGTTATAACTGCTCAATTAGTCATGAAAGTTGAAGGAAAATAAAGTTTTGTTTTTTAATTTTTGTGGGTTTTGTTAAGTAGTGTAATCTCTGAAGTGGGTGTGTTTTGTTGTTTTTCTTTTATTATTATTTTAATGTTTAAGCTAAAGTTTAAGAGATACCATTTTAAATATCCATAGTTTATGATAAAAATGAAAATCAGTCTCCAGAAGCCGATGACAGCTACTTGTAATACCTTCTCTTACATAGAAAATAAGTAGCATCATTGGTCCCAAAGTTATTATGACATCCTTGCTGAAGACAGAAGTCATGTTTTCCTGGACTGTAGAGAGTAATGTTTATTATGTCTCGTCAGTTGTTGTTTTAAACTTTACAGTGTTGCGTCCTTTGTGTCTCTGCTCCATTACAGTTTAGTGGAAAATATTACATTTTGCACTCAGCTACGTGTGTGCGACTGCCGCTGCGACCAGCTCCTTTGCAGATTATGATTTTACACTCTAATAAGGCACTTCCTTTCCCTTGGAGAAACTTCTCTCCGCATCACTGCATCACAGAGCAGTGATCAAAAGACATAACTAGCAGCTTCCCCCTATTTTATTCACACATTAAAAGACCCAAAGCTCATGCTTTGAACAGTAAAAACCAATAAAACCGTTAGAGCTGATCTGGCTGATAAAACCGGAATATTGCAGATAGATATTGCACAACAATGCACACAGCAGTAAAACAGACGACTATAAAGTGACCATATAAAGTCCCGTTAATACAGCAGTAGCCGCTGCCACTTAAAACCCCAACCTGAAGATGGAACAACGGAGTTTTTATAACGGTTCGTTCTATGACTGTAAACCGTCGGCCAGGGGGGGAACGCTCGCATGCAGAATGAAAGATGGATTGTTTTAGAGGGTTGTAACTAATGACTTTAATAAGGTTTCATTAGTCATTTACTAAAAATGTTTATTGACTGAACTCGAAGCAGTGAAACTTGTAGCTTGTCAGGCTGCGAGTCATCAATAGTCCAGGCTTAAATATAAAAATTTGTAAAAGGTTAATGACTTGCTGATGTTTACTCTGTGCTACACGTCGTAACAATGGCGGGAAGAGCAGTGAAAGTCTGTAGTCAAGTAATATTACTGAAGTGTTGGCCAAGTAAAAGCACTGGCATCGGAAAAATGAAATAAAATTCCTCCGCATATTAGTTACTTCTGAACCATTGAGGTAGAAGGCATTTAATTGAATTCATGGCATTTAGCTGAAATAGGAGGTCCAAGGTAGAACATATCTATTTTTAGTGAAGCACATTTCTCTGATAAATGCTAAATCCTGCAGAGAACAGTAGAAACTTCCACCCATCTGAAACCTCCTGGACGTTCTGGTGTACAGCATCTTGCAGACTTGACTTTCTTTAAACCTTTCGTTGGAGCTAATTTTCCAAGTTAACAGAGTCTATCCGGCTTCATTTGGATGTGCAGTGGTCAGTGGTCACCTCTCCAAACCCGTGCCGGCTGCGGCGTTCGGTTTCTTTTAGTTTTCATTCCATCAGGCTTTTCGTCGGCCCGCTTGTGATCGCGTCGTGTAATGGATTAGAAAAACGCAGATGAAAGTTTTGGACATTAATTGGATTTGTAGGCTGAGTCAGTGGCTCATTACGGGTGTAATAGTGGTAAAGCAGATGACACGGAGGAATGCACGCTCGATGGAGACTCTTTATTTTAACATCTGAAGGAAGGTGTGAACCGATCATATAAACTGTTAAGATGGTGACTAATGAATGGGTTGGAACATTAAAACATTACAAGAAGGATGAAATAGTAAGCCAGCAAGTTCCTCTGTGCAGCATTAATAAGCAGTGCATAAACATTTATAAACGGTTTTACGGCAAACTATTAGATTATGTAGGTGTAGGCAAGTGTAAGGACATGTGTAGTTTCTATTAATGTGCAGTGTTAGTTAACAAGGAAATGTAACTTTATACTTTATAGTGTTTATTAAAACTTTCTACAAATGGGAGTAATTCTAGTGAAGGCTTATGTGATCTTAAGTCTGTTAGTTACTGACATTTCTAAAAGCTGACTACTATCAAACCAAAGATTCCCAGATTTGCCAAAAGCTTCTCGTTCTTAATAACAATAAAAGTCACGTCTTTCTATTAAGTTTACAGTAAAAGTTAGTCGAGCCAAAATATCTTCTTTTAAATGCCTTATAAATAAAGAAATATGTAATGTACCAATATCTCACACAAAACATGTGATCAGCTTATGTTATGTAATGATGTTATGGATTTGAATAACTAAACCAGCAATATATAAAATTGGTTAATACAGTTGTGACTCAATAATCCGACCCTTAACAATCCTAAACCTTGCTATCCGACAGGTTTTTCGAAAAAAACGAACGGAACCCATAAAAAACAGCCTTAACATATCGACAGCCTTGGATTCCGACTCCGACATGACATTTTATGTCACCAATCAGGATAACAGTGTATTGTCTGACTGAACAATCCCACAGATTGGCTTCGTTCAGACTGCAGGACTTAATGCTCAATTCTGATTTTTTTTGTGAGTTCGTTCACATTTCCAGTTAAATGCGACTTGTATGAGATCTGCTGTGTGAACTTCATACGACCCAAAAGTGTCCCGCATGCACAGAAGAGGACACGACGACGTCACATGTAGCGAGCGTGCTCAGTGTTTATGGAAGTAAACACAGATGGTGGTGGCGGCGATGGTGCCACACCGATGGTGGAAACAGAAGTGTGACCGCTATCGTAAACTAGCATCAGCAGCCAAGTACTGCCTGCCCGTTCTGCCCACTTCCACCCCGTCGGAGCGCTCCCCCGGGGTGGAAGTGTCCCCTCGACCATGCCAAATATTCTGATATTCATCATTAATTGGGCCTGAATATCCAGAGAGCAGAAAGTGGTATTGGGACCAGCCGTACCTGTTATTATAACAACTATGAACAATAAATATTAACAACAAATGAGCCTTCAAGCATCAAGCCCTCCTTGTATCTCGACCTCCGTCTTGACAATCCGACAGCCTTGCTATCCCACATAAAAGAAGGTTTTACATTTAGTTTTGGATTATTGAGTCACGACTGTATTTTCTTCATCTTGCTGCAACATCAGTCTGCTGCTTGCACCTAAATGTGTTAATAACGCAGTAAAATAAAACAAATCCTGGATTACCTTTCAGAAACTGCTTAATGAGGTGAATGTAGGACTTGTAACGGAGTATTTTTTTCTCATTGACCGCCTTGCTTCTCCTTCTCGTGTCCTGTGTCTCCACCAGCTGTATCCGTCTCTGTGTGAGTTGGCCCACGTGTTGTCCGTGGACGGACCCGTCAAACAGCGTCTGGACACTCTGGCCGGAGAGCTGGCCAAGGCCGCGGACAAAGAACTGCAGGTAGGCGCGGAGGAGGGTTGAACTGTGGCCGTAATCGCAAAAACACTCTTTCCCCTGATGCATTGGTATTTTAAACAGTAGCGGAGCTCTGGACTAGTTGCATTTAAATTGCCCATTAATGGTGTGTGACTGTGTGTGCGGCGCAGGTATGCTGACTTCAAAAGAAACGTAGCATTTAAATTCACAGGGAAGGAGCAGTTTAACTTTTTTTTTTGTTCCATTTTGGTCCCATTAGGATTCAGTAGCGCAACATAGGCGGATGGTAAACACGCAGCACAAACCCCGAGGAGGAATCTGGGATCCTTTCTATTGAATTTCAACTTAGCCGAGCATAATTTACATCTCTGTTTATGCGGTCCAATTTCGGTCGTTATGCAAGAGGCCGCATTTTTAATTTGGAAAGGTCAAGATCAATTAAAGTGCAGAAAATATGAGCTCGGGGATTTCAGGTGTGGACACGTGGGTTCAAGGCACAAATGTCCAACTTGATAAAGTTAATATCTGGAGGTGGGTGTAAACAGATCGTATGAATTATAAATGTGTTTCTGCATCGCACAGAAAACCTGACAACAAAGAGGAAACTTTAAGCGAGCAGGTGAAAACACTGAAGGGTGAAGAATAAAATACTGCAGAAATTTAAACGTGTGCATATTTAATGTGTGCATACTGCATGTGTAGTAGGGCTGTGGTGATATCATGAAACAGGGTTCCTACGCAAGTATGGAAAGTATGGAATTTGATTTTATAAATTTCCAGGTCTGGAAAAGTATGGAAACTATTGTATGGAAAAATATTCATGTTTCCAAGACTATTACCACTGTTCTATTTTCTAAAACATAAAATTATCAATATCTAAAAAAAAAAAAAGAAATGGATCAATCTGCCCTTAGCAGCGCAGCTAAAATGTTTGTGTGAGAGCACACAGTAGGCGACGCGTCCCAGAAAACATTTGGGCAGATTGACAAGTTGAACGCCCGTCCTCTGCTCTTATCCCCTGCCAACCCATTGGCCCGCCCAGGTGTCGTCACATTTCACTGCTGCTTCGACAGACAGATGACGTCCACAAAGTTTGTGAGTGAGCGATTCAAAATGTCTTGTATGGTCATTGACAGAACTCATAATGAGTAAATTCTCTGACGACTGGCTCATAAATCCCAAATATAAAGACTGGTTGGATCCCGAATGGATAAAGAAAGCTAAATGCAAACTTTGTGTGAAATGACATCTCCAACATGGGGGAGGCGGTGGTTGTGAGTCATATGCAGGGAAAAAACACTTTTGTCTTGTCACCGTATCAAATTCTGTCGTCTTTTCAGATTCTTTATCTTTGTTTATTGTGTGTTTTGTCTCTTTTTTGGGAAAAAAAATTGACAAAAATACAAGAAACAGGAAGTAAAAAGAGTGTAACTGTGCTGTATGTTGTTCCTGAGTTGAACAGTCAACCAGATAATTACTGGATTATTTACAATATTATCACATGTGTATTGTTAGTTACTAAGCCAGCTTTTAAAGTGTGTTGGGCCTCTTGTGTCCAGGTCGTGGTGGACTCCATGGTGTCTCTGTGCCGCGAGCTGTGTCCCATGTCCTGCTCGGCCGCCGAGAGGCTCAGCCCTCCTCTGTCGTCCATCTCCGAGCAAGTCTCCATCCCCCGCTCCACCATTCGCAACGCTCTGATGGAGAGGGCGGCCGAGGACATCAACAGAGCTCTGGAGTAAGAGAAAGAGCTGCTTAAAAAGGTTAAGCCAAGCAGAACCTCGGCGAAGGAGCTGATTAAATTGTTCTTTTCCTTCCCCCGTTTGCTCCTCTGCTCTTCCCAGGGAGGTGAAGCTGTCCGTGGTCTCCTATCTGACCAACTCCATAGTGGATCAGATTCTACAAGAGCTGTACACCACTCATAAAACCCTGGTACTGGTAATATCCCCTTTACTGCATGACTTCTTGTAGTTTGTAGAACAAAAAAAGAAATTGTGTTTGTTTAAAGCTGGAAGAAGTGAGCAGATGTTATCAACCATCAAACTGTTGATGTGTTATTTTAGTATATGGATATATTATTACATAACATTAATGAGAAAACATCACTTGCATTTGAACTTTTGCATAACAAAGATTGGACAGTGATGAGCAGTTAATTGTTTTCTGTTTTCCCACACTGTACTGTAACAACAGATGACAACACTGGTGGGTTTGAAAGGCGTGTGATTTTATTTTATTTAAAAAATCATCAAAAATAGCCCAATAACTAGAGGCAAACATTATAAAAACAGAAAAAAATCATTCTTAACCTCTTAAGACCTCGCATCCACATGCATGGTGATCACATTTTGGGATGTATTACCACAGTAGTTATTTTTTTAAAATTAGTTTTTAGTTTTATTATTTTATTATTATTATTTTGTTTGTTATTTTTTATTTTTAAAATATTTTTTTAAATATATTTTTATTTTCTTTACTTTTTTTTTTTTTAATTCTAAAGAGAAATAAATAATGCATATCAAACAAGAGCTCAGGTCTTCAGAGGTTAAGTGATGTCTGAGTTCAATCTGGAGAAATAACAACATCTAAGCATAAAAATGGGGCATCTCTTCAAAATGACTTTATTCTGCACGTTTCATTAAAGAAATAATAAAAATCGCCAAAAATAAACCAGCATGTTGGACTCCTCGGTGCGACTGAGGAGCCATGTATGACTCAACTGTGACCAGCAATCACTTGACAAGGATTCTGGGACAAAAATCTGGCTGAACTGGAGGCTGTTTTTAGAAAGAGTAGATAGCAAGAGAGATGGAGAGGAGAAATGAAACGTACCGGATCAATAGAATAAATATAGTGTAGCTCAGAAATTGGTACACAGAGATGCAAGTTGTTGGTGCTTCGTGTTGCGTGAATTTAAAAAAAGAAATGATGATGTATGGCATTATGACATTGTTGAGTTCTCTCGTCTTCTAGCCACGGTTGTGTTGTTTCCATAGAGGTGCAGGACTTTAGATTGCATCAAAAAACGAGTCCGCAGTGAGTTAAAATGTGACAGAAGCAAAAAAAAAGAATTTAAAAACTGCTTTTGGGTTCGAAAGGGTTGAAATATAAAACATCAGATTCAGCAATAAATTCCGATTTTTTCCTATTTCTTTAAGAAAATACTTGAACATTTCATGAAGTGGAGCCTATTTATGATGTAGCCGGAGCCAGGAGACAGTCACCATGAAGAGTGGAAAGTGACAAAATATGCACCTCCCAGCATATCTAATGTTCACTAATTGACACGTTATATCCTGTCTGCTCACTCCGTTACACAAACTGTGCAAAGTTTGGGTTTCAGCAGGTGTCAGACTTGTTAGTAACTTTCTGGAGTCTCCGTTGGTTTTCTTTCTAACCTCCAGAAAAATTTGAACGCTTTATTTTCCCAAAAATGTCAAATTATCCCCACAGCTTTAGTTGACACAGATCTGTTGAAAGTAAAGTTGGGAGGAAATCTGTGGGAATTAAAGCGGCTCGAAGATTGACTCGCTTATATTGATCCAAAACCGCAGACGTTGGATGTGATTGACAGGCCACCCGGCCGCCTCAGACTTCTCATCGGTTGGATTGTTTTGGCACATCTTCCTTTGAAAAAACCTGCCAGTCTAACGATTAAGTGCTGCTTTAAGTACTCGTGTACCTTCGGTAATGGTGCAGGTTGTTTGTGGCCCATTAGATGACTTAATTTTGTGCTCGATAGCTCTCTCTCTCTCTCTCTCTCTGTGTGTGTCGACAGTTTTTCAGCGTGTTGTCTTCCAGCGTTACTATGGACGCACAAATGTACATCAAGGTTTCTGGTTGTTTACAGGTTGAATAAATGTTGCCGAGCATGAAGCCGTCTAGCCTCCAGCAACATCAATACAAACAGGGAGTCTCAGTCAGAGGGCTGTGGAGTCAGAGATGCCTTGAGATTGCACTCAAATGTCAAAAAGGGGGGTCGCTCCGTATAATCTGAAAAAAGGTCCGACCCTTTAGAATCAGCAATTATACTTTTGAACAACAGCTTAAGTGTATTTAATGGTCTCACGCTGTCGGTAAGAACCAGACCTTTCATTTGCAGTAACCCGTACTGACCAACCACTTACTCCACATGCTGCTGTGACCCTTTAAAATAAACCCAAAATACACTTTGTGCAGCGAAAGCAGAAAACACATCCAGAGCGTTTCTATCATTCTATTTCATACACAATTAACTGCTGCATTTTTTTGTTTTATTGAAACTTCGATATTCTCTTTAACCTTGAGTGGATGTAAAACTGGTTGCTGTTTTTTTTTTTTGCTCAAATGTGTTTTTCAGCCCTGAATATTGTACATGTCTATTTCCTGGACTGTAAAATGATGAGGGCTCAGAAATGAAAAAAAATAGCAGGAATAAAAAAACGCACATAATTTCAACCCACCCCGAAGCAACTCAAGGGCCTTTAACTTAGAAAATATTCATAGCGTGAAGGTAAAATTTCACGAGGCTTCAGCCAAATACAGTAAAGTTATTGTGCTTAAAAAAATGAGCTGCATATGACTGGATCAGGTGGGAGGAAAATGAAAACACTAGGATAGAATTCAGCGAGTGAAGAATCCGCTTTTGGATCAAGAGCAGCAGCCAAACTGGAAAATCTTTTAAGTAATGCTTCTTGTAACACATCCAAGGACTCATCAGAATCCAGTTGTCTTGAAACCATCTGATGCAGATCTCTGAGGCTGTCAGAAAGGCTGCCGATCCAAGACTTCTAATATGTGCAATTATTTGAAGTAGGCACTCCGGTTCACATGTCATTACCACATCAGCACGGAGGTTTTTGAAGCAAACGGCGTCTTTTTAAAGCAGAATATTGCGCTCAGAGAGAACGTAACAACTCGATTTGAGCTAGTTAAGGGGATGATTAGACCCTGCAGGTTCTCCTCTCCATAAAGTCAAATTGTTTAAAATGAAGCCAGTGCAGAAGCAGGAGAAGAAAAAAAAACAAAAAAACAACAGACTTCTGGCAATAACACTGCCTCCTCTGCTCTGTTTTGCATTCCATTCACTGCCTCTGCCGTTACATCTCATTCTCCTTTCTCTGTTTTTGCTGCAGTGCCAGTTTGTCCTCTATCATGCCTCCCTCCGCTTTGATAATCAAGAAATTGTATTTAATTCATATTCTTCATGGGCTTTGCGAAAAACAGTGACGCCGAGGCATCCTTCGCTACCTTCTCGGGTGCAAGGGCGGACACGCCTCTCCTCCGAGGCTGCGCTTTAAGGATATTGTTCTGGGTGTCACCATTGTACGAGTGCGAACACTTTGTGTGTGCGCGCGATGATGCATGTTTTCGATGTGTGTGTGTGTGTTGCGTCAGCTGCGGCAGGTGTCTCAGGCGAAGCGTTGGGATGACGTTGGGACAGGCAGACGCACTATCAGGCAGTCCAGAATAGTCGAGTCTCTGGATTTCCCGGATGAGGAATTTGGTGTCAACCTGGGAATAGTAAGTGTTTGTGATGTGTGCGCTCGGCGACAGCGAGCTTGTTTTATTCCAAAAGCACGTTTGTGATGTCATTACTGAGCATGAATGTAGCGCTGATGCAATTACCTAATAGGTAAGTTCAATGATTTCATCAAATGAATGACAAAATCTTGATTATTCAAATCATTTTCTCAAGCAAAACACCACCCACTGCTTTCTGAGATGGGAGACTTTGATATTTTTTCTCTCTGTAGTAAATCCTGCAAATGGAATAACGATGGATTTGGGGTTGTGATAAGGACAAGGCAAACAAATTCAGAATATCCCCTCGGCCCCCCTTCAAATCAACATTTTTCACTATTTGTACAGAGTTACAGTCGTCCTCAAATTTGTTCATACCCTCCCATTAAAGAAGGAAAAATAAAAAACAGCTGTCAATGAAATATAAATAAGATGAATGAAAATCATGACATTGCTTTTGAATTGTGGTTCAACAGAAATATAAAGAAAAAAACAAGCAAACAAACATGATGGGATCCGTAAACTAATATTCTGTTGAACAACCCTTTGAGCCAATCACTGCCATCATCAGGTGTTTTCTGTGACTCTCAGTCAGACTTCTGCACCTGTTGACAGGTATTCTGATTTCACTGCTCATCAGCAAAGTGCTCTAATTTGTCTGAGACAGTTTTTATTTTTATTTTTTTTAATTATTCTTTTCAACCACAATTCAAAAGCAACATCTTATTTCACTGAATTATAATTTAGCAAATTTTTATTTATTATTACTTTTTTCAGTTTCTAGTTATTTGAGTGACTTTTGTGAATTTAGTTTTTTCTTTAATGGAAGGGTCTGAATACATCTGAGGACGATCGTATAAATCACCAGTTGTTGTAGGCCTGTATGAATATATCATTGGACTAATACATGTTAAAAAATAGATGAAAATCATCACCGTTCTCTGCTCTTTGTACTTTTAGCATCAGTCATTCTAAAATCGAAACATTTCCCGCAATTCCCCTCCCTTCCCACGGCTAAAAACATGCTGACCCTCATCACTCTTGTGCCTTGTTCAGACGGGTGACTAAACAAAGGACAAACCTGGATTCATGACCCCTACACTGAGGTGATCTGGTGTCTGTAATGTCATGGGGGTGTTTTGCTGCTATGGTTTGGCTCCACTTGTACCTTTTAGAGGGAAGGGTCACAGCAAATCAATACCAATGACAATGCCTCTGTCCACGGAGCACGAGGGGTCACCGCTTTGATGAGTCTGCGAGTGATTTGAAATATGGTCTGCGGCCGTCACAGTCGCCACATCTCAACCCAATTTAACACCTATGGGAAATTTTGGACTCGCAATTCATGCTTTCTGTGTGCGTCTACGTGGACCGTCCACATCGATCTGACCGTTGCATCGCCCCTCATGTCGAAACACAACAAAAATGCAGAGGGCAGTTTTTATTGCAGCTACTTACTGATTGGACTGTAGCGCCTTGTGAGTGGATATCCCAGAGGTCTGCCCAGAACTGTGGGCGGACGTAGCACAAGGTATGAGGTGTGTCTGAAAAAAGTTTCAGGACTGGTGTCACAAAAGATGTATTTCAAATCCAAACTACAAATAATCCCCCTGGAGTCTAACACACTTCCCCCAGCCATCTTGATGTCGTCTTCAACACGGGTCCCCTTGATGACCCCCTTGAGCTTGGGGAAGAGGAAGGAAGCCAGGTGGGCTGAGTAGGGAGGTTGCTCCAGCACAGAACTGTCGGATGCTCAGGGTGTTGTGATCAGGCGCGTTGTCATGGTGAAGCAGCCACGACTCGTCCTGCCACAACTCTCCGAAACGCAAAGCAAACGCCGCAGGATCTCTTTGTAGACGTGCTGGTTGATCGTCTGAAGGGGAAAACTCATAGTTGGGGTTTGAAATATATCTTTTGTGACACCAGTCCTGGAACTTTTCCGACACATCTTGTATCTGGAGAATTTAGAGCTCCGTCAGTGGATAAAATGTACAAATCAAAGCATATCCTGGCAGCGACTACTTCAATTACAACTCATAAAGGTGTGGACAGCCAAGAATGTACTCATACAGTCTCTCGTCTAAACAAGCACTTACTTAAAACCCCACTTGTCCTCCTGGAGCGTGCGCAGTCGGCTTGCTTGTGGACACGGAAAGCATGAAACATCGGTTTTATCCTTTAGTCACCCATCTGTCCTCCATCAGCCGTTCAGTTTCTTTGCATCTGCCAACAACTCAGAACAGCTACCACTTTTCAGGAGAAACACACCTGTGTTCCAGTTTTTACTCTGCAAGGCAATCATGTTATCTTGCTGTTGGTTCTCGGAGATTATAGTAAATATTTAGCTGCTTAGAGATGATTACGCATAACACATCTTCATCCTGTGACTTTCTGTGTGTGTAGCTGTCACATACATGGGCTGTAAGTGTTTAAAAAGTCTCCTCTCCATGTCCAATTATCTCCTCTCACAAAAGGACACCATGGCTATTAAGAAGCGGAGCTCCAGAACAAGACGAATCCGTCCCGTCTCCACCAGACTGAGTGAGTTTTCTGCCTCAACTCGCAGCGAATCGCCCTCAAGTCCTCAAATAGCGTATCGTACAGTTATTATACAATGACAGCAGGGCAAGGGTCAAGTAACTTTCTATTTTTTAATCAATGAGGAAGTACAGCTGTAACTTTTTCTCAGCTTATAGCGGTGGCTGTCAGACTGGGGTGGCCGGCCCTGCTGGGGCGTAGAGCCACAGCAGAGGGAGGAGGATGTGAGGAGAAACAAAGTGGAATTAATGTGATTTATGCAGGGAAACTGAACAAACAAGTTTGCTGATGCTTGCTCTTGTGCTGACCTTTGTTTCACTTCAATTTCGATCTTTTTTTATTTTTTATTCCCTATCATTGTTAACGATTGGTTAAAAAAAAAAAAATGTGTTGGGGAACTTTTTTTAACTTCTGAGGATGACAAAAGTTAAGAACCCCTGGCCTGTGTTATGTAGTTTTTTTAAAGGAGCAGTGTGTAGAACATAAGGAGTTCAGTTAGCATAAATGGAATATGGATTTAAATTATGATTTCATTAGCATTTAATCAAGTATAATTGTGAATCACTGTGTTTTTGTTAGCTTACTCTTCATATCCACAAAGAGAGGAGATCCTTTTCCATGGAGGCTGACATGTTTCTACAGCCTCTGTCTTTTAAAAATATAAAGGCAGAACATTTTTTAAAATTAAGCCTTGTCTTGTTTTCTGATACCAACCTCAAGCTCGTTTTTAAATTTTCCAGTTTTTCAAGACTTTTTCCCCACTAGTGGTAGTTTCATTTCTCATTTTTGTGTTTCATAAATTGCAAAACCTTTAATAAATCCTCTTTTGAAAGTATTTAATTGGTTGCAACTTTAGTCTAACCCTGTGGTAATTAGAGATCAAAGAGTGCCGAACCATGGACCGTATATAAAAAAAATAGACATAGATTAGACTGCCACAGAGGCTGGAGGTGGATCTGACTGAGAACTATTGTAGTGACTTGTATCAGTCCCAAGATAGCGCCGCATTGAAACATCCCCAACTTGATTTTTCTCTAAATGCAACCCTACTTAACTAAGTGAACCCCATGCTGTATTCAAAAAGTCTTCAGACTAGCAACTGAAACCACAAATCCACAAGAAAAATGTCTACTGTGGTAATAAATCCAGGTAGAAGTAGGGATACTTTCTTCAACCACACCTATTTTTGCAACCAGAGGAGTCGCCCCCTGCTGGCTGTGAGACAACAATGCAGCTCATATGTGACAGAATAAGTAAATTCTGTCCCCATCTGTTGTTATCTTGTCCTAGGTTTAGGTGATGAGCCCAGTTCCTCCCCTACGCCCTCCGCTCCGCTCCACTCTGCCCCTCTTACCCACTCGGCATCATGGGAGTGTCTGTCCACCCTCCCCACCAACGGCTCGCCCCTACGTCACGTGACCCACGTCAGGCCACGCCCACCGCGGAGACACAGAGCAGGACACCTTCCTCCTGAATCTGTGAGTTGATGCTGCGTGACATTATTCTGAACTTCAGGGGGCGGAACTCCGTCCTAATGGGGTCATGAATGGCAGCCATTGGAACTAACGCTGTATACTGACCTTTTGCAGTTTCTGGAACACAGAAGGAAAGTCAGGTTTTTTTTAATGTGCCTGTGGTACCGTTGTAGGTTTAACTGCCCCATTTCTGATCTTGTACCACAGCGTGAAGTTCAATCCATGTTTTTCCACAAAAGTGCTCAGAAAAGGGGGTGAGTGGTGAGAAAGTAAACCCAGCATGTATAGTTTTTAGGTTTTTTTTTTGTTTTTTAATCTTTTGGCTGCTTCATGTGAACTTTTGCTATTCATCTTGTTTTCATTGCCAGCGGCACTTTCCAAAAATAAGTTCCTTTTAAAGCAGGAAGCTGTCGTATGTGTCTCTGTGACTCAAATGTTAATCACACACACAGCCATCTCCCGGGGGCCGCGGGGCAGCCGCTAACTTAGCGGCTTGTTTGTTTAGAGACTTTCTAAAAGCCCTTTTTCTAAATCGGTACAAATTTAGTTAGCGCCGCACAATGAGGAGTTGTTTTACAAACAGATTTTTCTTGGCAGTGGGTTCAGGATTGCCAGCCGGCCATTTGAAATGATAATACCCTTTGTCAGCCTTTCAGCTTTTTGTCGACATGGCAGATTGATGGTTGTTATTCTGTTGCTCTTTCTGTCTCCTGTTGTGTGCGCAGCATTGCTCCGAGAACGGAGGAGTCAGTATGCTGGAGGACGGACTGCCTGATTTCTACAGCAAGAGAGTTCTACCCGACAGGTAGAATCCAGAATCGGTTTTATTTTTGTTCCAACATTAAACTATGCTATAAATATTCCGTTACTACACAGGCCCTGAGGACAACACACACACAACCCGCTGAAGTAGCTGCGCTTCACATCTGGTGCATCAGTAAAACCTGATATTTCATTCTTTAGCTTCTCCCGTGTGTCCCGTGGCACATGCGAGATCTTATTATTAGAGAAGGTTAATAAAAAAAGTGAAAATTCCTTCTTCCAGTATTTTATAATTACACCCAATAAATTGAGAAAAGTTGCTATTCAGAACCGAGCCGCCGAGCAGAACCTGCTGCTGCTACTGTAGCAACCGCAGAGCAGCCAGAGTAAACATTTTTATATGAATAATGGATAAAATGATTCAGTCATGAAAAGGGTTGCTCAAAGAGGGGAAGTTGTCCTCCAACTCTACAGCTTCCTCTGCTCTGTAGAGCGTTTTAGGAATCATTAGCTGCTCGTTTTGCTTTTGCCAAATGCAAATTCATTGATTTGGTTTAATCTCATTGTTTGGATCAGGGTTGTTTCCAGCCGAAGTGTTTTCAGCAAAAACTTCTAGAACTTTAATTATACTTGTTGCCTGGCACTTAATAGAACTCCGTGGGGTTTCTGACCACTAGCAGGAGCGGTGTTGTTCATTTTATTTATTCATCTTGTGCACACACTGGTGACAGCACACAGTCTTGCCAACAGTTTCACTTTCTTTCCCTGATGTATACGTGGAGGTAAGGTGCCAAATGCAGCAGTGAAAGGTGAGAAAGGACGACTGCAAGCCAGAAAAAAAAGTAGATTTCAGCATATAGAGCATTCTTTAAGAGAGGTTTGGCCTGACCACGCTGAAAGAAATCAACGTCGTTAAGAATGAAGGATACAGAGAAGCACAGAAATACTCTTCACAGGAAAAGCGCATTTAATTAATGGCAAAAACGCAGCGTTAGGGATTAGCTGCTGGACCTTATGGTGCATTTAGAAGGTAAATTAAACACATATTTGGCTAAGGAGCTGGCATAGAATGAAAACAAAGCTACACAAAGGAAGAAAACAAGAATGCTGCTCAGTGTCTGCTGAATGTGTAAATAAGATATATTTCCCCCGCTGCCGCCCGCCAGCACGAAAATAACCCACAAATTCAGGTTTAAGTCGATTCTAATGCTCTCTTTACCTGAATAAGTCAAATTTTCACAAAATTTCTGTCCGATGTTGACGTATGAACAACGCTAAGTGGATTAGTTGTGTGTTTCTCAAACCTGGAAGCAAACGGCAGCAGAACAGCGTCATCCCAGCGCTGCCTTCAGAGATGGCGGATGGTCCTTTCGTTATAATTATGTGATGGTTTCCACCTAATTGTCACATAAAGATTTCTTAATTACGAAAGTCTTTCCTCAATTACAAGATGCTAAGCACTAATCATGAGTGATGGAGTCATAATTGTGAAATTATTTCTAATTACGAGCGAATGCATCAGATTATTTTTTTTTTTTTGCTCGGTGAATGAAATGAGCTTCGATGTTACACCAGAACAGTTCACATCCTGTTAAAAGGAACACGATCTCATGAGTTTCATCCAGACCGGGCTGAACTGAGTGAACCTGTGCTTGTTTAATGTGTCTAAATTCGTCTGTGAAGATGTGGATCTGGTGGGTTTTACTTTAGGGTACATTAACTCTGGACGGAAAATCAAAAAAAATACCCAGCAACCCACCGAAATAGAAATGTATTTTATGGAGCTAATTAAGATAAGTATTCTCCTGTATGCTGCTTTCAGTTCATACAGCACTACATGCATTGAAAGCAGCGCTACGAGATGTCCTGATCTGCAGCGCTTTTGTATTCTCATGTCAAGTGTCATCAATGATAAATGAGCGGCATGTTCAGGCGCAGACGGAGCAGAGGGCTTCCATTTGCAGCTCAATTTATTCAATAACTCCAGCATATACCTTTATCTTTTTTTTTCTTTTTTTCCAATCATCTTGTTTACTGTCACAGTCCAGCATCCTGCTGTCGAACTAATTTTCCTTGAAACTGCACAGTAGTTAAGCAAAACATATTTGTCCTTTCCTCTGCATTGGAGACAGTTTCTCTGTGACAGGCCAATATCGCATCAGAAACACTGAGACGCGAAGTAATTAGCAGCAGTTTATACTTCTTTAAGATCAAAGAGTTGTCAGTGAAGTTGCCGGGGTATTAAGTCTGTAATTTGGTGATTAGGCTGTTTTCAATGTACAGTATTTCTTTAAATTAAAAAATGCTAATTTAACCCTGTTATAGATGATGTGAGAGTACACAGCAAACATAAGCAATGAAACTCCAGCAAAACATTGTGTTTATTGGCGTAGCTGATGAATTGATGCGTCACTTTAAAGCAGTGTCTGGACCAAGCAGTCAAAGCAC